TACATATGTATATACATATTTTCCTGTGTTAACTTGTTTATGTAACTCGACCTCACAGCTATCATTCTCTTTTTGGCTCCTTGAATTCACTCTCCTGCCTCAGGGACTTTGTGCCTGCATTTTCCTCTGCATTGAGGATTTATCCCTGCCTTAAGGATTGTGTCCTTCCTGTCCTTAAGGTCTCAGCTCAAATATCACCTCAGAGAAGCCTCATGGACGAGCTTCATTACAGACTGAATTGTGTCCCCCAAATTCAAAGACTGAAGCTCTAACCATCAGTGTGACTGTGTTTGGAGACAGTGCCCTTAAGGAGGCACATAATTAAGATTATATAAAATTTAATAGTGGAGCCCTAATCCAGTATAACTGGTGTCCTTATAAGAAGAGAAAGAGACACCAGGAGTATGTGTGCATTAGAGAAAAGGCCATGTGAGGACACAGAGAGAAGGCAGCCATCTACACGCAGAGGAGGGAAGCCTCCAAAGAAACCAAACCTGTCTGCACCCTGATCCTGGACTTCCAGCCTCCAGAACTGGGAGAAAATAAATGTCAGCTGTTGAAGCCACCCAGTCTGTGGTATTCTGTTCTGGCAGCCCTAGAGGTCTAACACAACCCTCACTCTAGTTGTTCTATGTAACACTTTAAGGAATTTGAAATATCTTACATATTTGTTTACTTGCTTATTACCAGACTGCTCTTTCCTAAGGGTGGAGCCCTTGTCATTCATGCCCTAGACCAGTGGCAATTTTTTGGAAGGTGCTTAACAAATAATTGTTGGACAAATAATCGACATGTCTAGGAGCCACAATGGACTGGACATTGTGGATATTGGATAACTGTGGGCTGTTCATCTCAGGCTTTTCATATTCAGTAGATTGTTATTTTTAATCCGGGAGGAACCATATACTTCTTCTAGTCCAAGGGTTAAAAATCAAAGTGTTTCAGGGCGCCTGCATGGCTCAGTCGTTAAGTGTCTGCCTTCGGCTCAGGTCATGATCCCAGGGTCCTGGGATCGAGTCCCACATTGGGCTCTCTGCTCAATGGGGAGCCTGCTTCTCCCTTTGCCTCTGCCCCTCCCTCCTGCTTGTGCTTTCTCTTTGTACCTCAAATAAATAAATAAAATCTTTAAAAAAAATCCAACTTTTTCTAGAAACCAAGTCGATATTGTAAATGAATGTGGTAGCTTGAGCACAATAAAATACAAAGTTGTAGGGTCTGTGGCAGACTGGAGAATGCATTGCCCCACTAAAGGTAACACGTACTTCTCAACTAGCCATTACCATGAGCCCAATGCTGCCAGATCTAATATTTAAAGAGGAGTCAAGAATCTAAGATTTTTATGTGAAATCTGCCGATTTTTAAAAACTAGCAACTATACAAATTTGTATAAAATACTGCAAACCCAAAACAACAGTAAAAGGCAAAACGTTTAAAGGTAGACAAAGGATTTCAGGGAGCTCTGAGGCTGGACTTACAGTGGTTCTCCTTTCACTGGGAGGTACTAGAGGCACTGCCCAGGATTTCTCCCCCCCCCCCGCATTCCCCCCTCTTCTTTTTTCTTTCCTTCAACTTTATCCTCTACCCCCATCTCCAACTTCCTTTATCTTCTCACTTTTGTCTCTCTTGCTTTTGCGTCAGAGCTGCTAGTGTCCTGTATGAGTGCTTTGCATGCAAAAGTTTCTGAAAAATATTTGTTTTTGAGCCAAGGAGGTGGGGGTTAGGAACAGGAATGATACCCAGGCGTAAAGACTCCCTACTCTCAGAATTGAGAACATTGTTGAAATTGGAATACATTACACAGTAGGGCCTACTTGCCATCTTTGTGTTATGCATATATTAGGATGAAGACCACAATAAAATTCTAGCTGTCATTATTTCAGCAGCTACTTATGTTAAATTGTAGAAAAATAATAGCTAATATCAATGGAACATCTGCTTATCCTCATGTCGGGAGCTCTACACTCAGTAGAAGTCAACGGGAGGGCCGTTCACACCTACCTGTCCCTTCACACACAAATTTCACAAACTCAGGTCCAGGAAGTCAGAGACTGTAAATTGTGAGGCAAGGCCATATAGAATTCACTTATGAAATTCTGGAACGTTTATCGCTTTCCAATTCCAATTTTTTGTATGTTTGTGTTTATCTCATGAAATCTCTTGAAATAAGATCTGTGCATTTGTCTTTGGGGTTGGCAAAAATGAGGGGAAGGTGTGGAGGTTAGTTTCTGTTCTTGGCCTGGTTGCATCTTCACAGGGGAAGTGGAGTGATGCTTCGGAAGAAAAGAGGAAGTGAATAGAGGCAGGAGACTAGAAAGGGCAACCACGGATCGGCGGTAGACTGAGACAAAAGGGGATGGCCTGGGACTAAGGAATAGAAACCCACATGTGTTTCCCATTTGGTGCAAATAAAAATGGGAAATTTTGGAAGTTTCCAAAAAAGTTGTCCCTTATGTTTATTATTATGTGGGTGATCTAAATGGATCTTTTTCATTTCACTACTACATTTTCCTATTTGTTCCCAAAATCCTGCCTAATTCCTCCACAGCTCTTTTAAGAACTGAGGCTGGCATTTCTGGGACCTTCTCCCTGTGTGGAAAAGCCCATTTCTCCCCTTCTTTCACTGGGACCTGGTGGGGATGGACCAGCAGAAATCCCCTCTGGTGGTGATGACCATGCCTCCATGGGGGGGGGGGTTACCTTGCCTTTCACAAGGAAACCTAGACCACTGCACCTTTGTTTCCCCGGCAACTGGCACAATGATGGGCAGGTCATTGGTGGGATTTACTTTGATAATAAATAAATAAGTGAACCCAGGTTTCTTAAGCGGGTCTTTAAGTTTCTCAAAGGAAGACTGTTTATACGCTGGCGCAGAGATCCTGGGCTAAGAATATGAGGGCACCTAAGGCCAATGTGAGGTAATGGGATTTCTGAGGAAGTGTGAGAAGGCTAACTGGAAGCTAACTTGGCATTGAATTCTCTGTTCCTCCTTCCCTTCTCCTGCCTTAGTACCTTAGATGCTACTCTCACCAGGCACTGGGCGGAGGTGAGAGGGAAGCTCCAGACCTGGGGTGATTAAGGAGTGGGGTGAGAAAACAGGAGGGGAGGACAGAAGGATGCACTGAGCATCAGGGGCCTGTACACAGACATGTGGGAAGGAGGGCTTTGACCCTGGTCCTGCTCAGGAAATGGGGCAATGAATAGTCCCATGTACAAGTTATTCGAGTGGCATTCTGAGAAGGTCTTCAGCCAATTTAGAATAGACAGAGAATATTATAAATAGAAAAGATACAGTTCTCAGCTTTTTTATGATTTTTCTGTTGCTCAGAGTAATAAAATTTCATCTAAAGTTTAGTTTGATTATTTGACTCTTTCAGGAAATTACTTTGCCCTGAGAATAATCCTGTTGGTTGAAACAGAAAACTATGTTATAAATGACAGGGATTTTATACCATATGTAGTTTATAACATATATTTATGTGTATAAGATACATGTCTAAACTTGGGAAGAAGGTAAGGATTGAGATTGTGCATAATGACACAAATTTCTATGTGTCGTATACTTATATACTTTTTATAAATGTATAACTATAGTACGTTGCTCATGAAAATTTATGGCTTAAATTCCAAAGTGCCATTGCAATCCAATCTTGCCTGTGGACATGGGGTAAGCTCACAATAATTTCCATACACTTCTGTTCTCAGAACATTAATTTTTGAGGGAGCAAAATGTGAATTTCAAGTATTGGTGATTTTCTTTCCAAAGAAGGAGTTAATTTTGAATGGATTAGCATTCAATAGGCCAATTGGACTTAATCTGCCATCTGACAGTTACTCATATGAGGCAAATATGGCCCAAAACCACTGAGGTGAGACACTGGTCTGAAGACAATTTTAACCTGAAAAACCATGAAAAATATGGATGCGCACACACATCTCAGCATCCTAAGAGTAATCAAATGCCATCAGATAGCAGAAATAAGGACTAAAGATTAACACTGAAGATATAAGAACACTGTTTTCCTCCTCCATTTTGTAATTCTGTGAAAATCCCACTAGCATGTTGAATTTTTCAAAATATTTTTCTATATTTCATTTTTTAGAACAACAGATCATTTTTTAGCTAAAGCCTTACCATTGGTCTTCCTTTACTGTTAGTTAATCTGTAACCAAAAATATTTCCCATCTTAGCTACCATAAGCTTTTTTTTTTTTAACATTTATTAGTACAAACTTTCCCCCTTCCCCTAGACCCCAAGACACAAGATGTGTTTTTGTTGTAATTTTTTCCTGTTTTAGAATTTGAGCTTCTCTTCATCAACCATTTCCTAAGAACCTATTCCCCTAATATCACTGGGTTATTTGCAGACAGAGTCTTAATTTAAATTCAAACTAGCCCCAATATCAGTTCATAGTATGTTCCATCTGACAGCAAACTGAAATCAATGTTAATCTTCTAAAAGGATCGATTTATCACTTAATGCTTTCTTGATAATAGTCTTCTAACCTGATTTTTCATTGCTACCTTATCTAGAGCAACAATTTCACCTTTTCTGTAGCTATTCCTGGGATCTCTATTTGCTGCTGCCTCCCTACATTTTTGGAAAGTCTCATAATACAAAACTCCATAGGTGCTGTTTTGACTTTTCCATTCTTACTTATCTTTACAATAATGAAAAGAAATGTTAGTTAAAAATATTTTCTCTAAAGGCCTGTCCAGACTTGTAATTTAACAGATATTGTGGGGGGGGGGGGGTGATACGGAATAGTGCTTAGGTTTTTCTATTGCTGAAGTAATCCTGGGAATATTCCTACTCGTGCCTTAAATTCTTCAGTATTTCTGGTTGCTCAACAACATATCTGTGAGCTTATATGTCTTCTTAGAAATAACAGACTTACTTTGGGAAATAAGCACTTAGGAAATGTTCAATCACTTGTGACCATGCATTAGTGCACTTTCCAAGCTATCGTAGGCAGATAGAGCAAATCAGAGAAAATTCTTACCTCTTGAAGGACGTAAGACAATGCACATCACCAATAAAGCAAGCACAGCAGAAGTGGCAACTCCAAATACAATTTTTAACCACGTCTACATAAGATAAAGAAAATTGACATATACACAGTTTCTGTTAAATAGTAGAAATGGCAAGATTTTATTTACACCTAAATCCTATTTCTCCCTCCCCACAAAGCCCTTGATTGTTTTCCACTGATCTGGCTATAATTGCTGGAATTCTCCCAGCTCTCCAAGGACAAATGTTTCTACAATATATTTAGAACAATCTCCCAATCCCAACCCACTCCAGGAAGTACATACTTATGTACAAATCCTCACCTTCTAAACAATAGAAAACTGTGATCGAACTCAACTCAGCCAGTCCTCCTTCTTTAGCAACACCTGAGGCTGCATATACTAACCTTCATTTTTCCAGATGTTTTTGAAAGTTAGCTAATTCTGACTTCAGAACGTAGGTCACCGGATCTGTGAAAACCGTTGAAAGAAGCAAGTCTGTCTTCAGAGTTGGAAACTGAAGCTGGGACAAGGTTTTTTTCTTTCCACGGACTTTTGAATACCGGGCCAAATTTCAAAAGATTTCTGTAAAATTAGAAACAGATTTTGGGGGCGTTCTTGGCCTTGAAATGAACTGTGAGTGGCTCAAGGGAGGTTTTATAGCCTTCTCATCCTTGTAAATTCTACACCAACACCAACATCTGCTTACGTTGACAGAGGTTTTAGTTTTTTTTTTTTTTTTTTAACAAGGTTGGGTTTATGTTTCATTTTCTTCTAGAAATCACTTACGGATCACTTTGGCAAGTGATCACATTTTCTGTAACCATTTTATTTGCAACCAGAAGAAGAATTTAAAATAGTACAACCTCCAGGTACACGCAATATACATATATCTATTTTTTTAGCAGAGAAAGAAAATTAAAGCCATATAAGATTTTGTGAGACATACACCACATAACTGCACATTTTTATTCCTCTGGGAAATTATGAGGTACTTGCGGACAGAAATGTTTTTCTTTCAGCACAATTTCTTTGTCCATATAGCACCATATGCACTTTCAGTAAATACAGAAGTTTAAAAATTCAACTGTCTAAACCCACGGCTGCTTTACTTTAAAGAAATAAAATGCCATCTGGTGAAATTTAGTATGGGTTAGGTGTGTATGCACAGGCCAGAAAGATGGAAAGATCAGTAAGAATAATTTACCAACAGACCTTTGGAAGAATGGAAATGGCTTTGCAAAAGTGATACTTTTGCTTCCATCTCAGAATATATTCTGAGAGAGAAGACCATTCAGTAATTATAGAGCCTCTAAAACAAATAAAAAAGCATTTGAAAACAGAGTTAAGTCTTAAGTACAATTTCATTTTGGCTAAATCCATATAATTGCAAAGCAATTGGTCAACCCGACAGATCAGAAAAAAAGGTTGACTGAATTTTTTAAAAATACATACACAAAACAGTTTCTTGGAGTATTCTGGCTGGTTCAGTGCAAGACACTTGGATAGATTCTGTGGTTCCACATAAACACAATTGCTAACCTACTGTCTTTAGTTTTTCCACTAATGATTTTCTTTTCTGGAAATTTATGGTGTTCTCACAATGACTAAAACTTCATGGTGACATTTCCTGGGTTGTTCATGAAAGGTAATGAGGAAACAATACTGAAATTTGTTGCTGTTTGCTTTAATCAACTGGTCTGGCTACCATAGGAGGCTTTCTCCAGCAAACAGCAGGACGGTGGCTTGCGAACTTCCTTTCAGACATTCTCCAGACATCCCTCCCTGAATTCCAGTCTTATGAAAATTCTGTTGAGGAAAATGAGTCATTAAGCACTTACTGGCAGACAGATGTAGCCACCCGGATTCTAGATGAGCCTCCCTCTTTGGCAGTTGATGGGACCAGCTCTTTACAAACTGAAGCAATGATTAAGAGTAATATCCAGGTTATGCTCTATACTTGCAGACATATCTATTGATTGTGAGATCCTCAAATCCGAGATAGAAGCCACCAGCTAGGTTCCAAATGAACAGCTCCCGTGTGTGTCCTCTCAGATTGATTGCCTCCTTTGGAAAATTCACAGAGCATGTTCTCAGAAGTTCTGTCCCAGCCTGCCAAAGCCCCAGAGTCCACAAGTACTTTTTAGTGTGTTATTTCCAAGACTTCACATTCTGAAGAGTGACTGTAATAAATGATGAGGGTGTAATTAAAATGGATACTATTCGCTTTAGCAATTAAAAATGCACTGACATGTGTCTGGTCTGAGTACCATTTAGGATTGCAGCCAAGTGTGGGCGTCCACAAGAGACTCATTTGATAGGTTCTATAGAGAAATTGGGGTGCTTTAAGAGGAACAAATTTTAGTTGAATCTGTTAGTGAGTTGGGGGAATTTTGAGGCTGAAATATGTTTACTTAGTTTTGTTTATTTTTTTCCTTGGAAAGTTGGTGATTCAAATTCAACTTCTGGAAAATTCTTACTGGTTTAAACTGTTTTTAGAAAAATGAGACTAGCTACAGAAGTAAAGATGTCAAGAGTTTTTCCATGTGATTCCATGGGTTAGGGACATGTTGCTTTAACACAGCTTCACATGTCCATCCCTCTGAGATACTGTGTAAGTGTTCTAGCTTTCATCCAAACAGAGACTCCCACAAAAATTTGGATGGTTTTAATATTACAACATCTTTACTGGCTTTTTCTTCTTTCAGAGTGAATACAAAAATGCTTATGCTAACATTTTTTTAAAACATTGAGGAAACTGACTACCATTCTTATTTTATACAGTGAATCAACATCCAATCAGCTTCTCTGTCAGGAAAACACATATGAATAAGCCTCAGCCTGTGTCCTCAGGGAGCTTACTTTCTAGTACAAGCAGGACAGGGAAGTTCTTATATGTTTCTTTTCTCTTTCTGGAAGGCTGGCTGAGAATGAGCCTCAGGCTGAGTTCACCCTTAGTAGGAAAGAGACTCGTGATTGGCTGTTGACTTCAGCATGGACCCAGGAGGAGAGTCATGAAATCCACATACCATGTTTGTAAGCCATAGAGTAGGTCTAGTTTTGGTCAGGACTGGGACTTTTTTCAGAAAGTGACTCTGGATCTATTCAAATGCAACAAAAATGGAAAGTATGACTTCTGCTTGTAAAAAACTAAGAGCAAGAATTAGGATAGTAGAGGTTCAACTGAGCTTTTCCCAAAGATGGGCCTTCTAAGGCTTAATTTGGAATATGACTACATTCTGGTAAGCCCACTGGGAAAGTTAACTATAACATAAATCTTTAGCTTACTAAGACAGATTTCTAGAACTATTTAGCAATAGCCATTGTGTGTCTGCCAAAAATGAGTTTGATTTAGATGTTTTCCTAGAAAACACATCCAGTGATATACTCATAGAGAGTGAATGGGGTAAGACCATGCTGAAGGCATAAATAGGGATTCTGTCTTTTTATTTGGAGGTAGGAGAATAAAAAAAGAGATACATTTATGAACCAAAATCTAAGATTAAGATTATTTAAGGACAAGTGATAAGTAAGGGGTATGAGGGCAGGAGTGGAGCCTACGAAAACCTTGATTTTTTTTTTTTAAAGATTTCATTTATTTATTTGACAGAGAGAGACACAGCGAGAGAGGGAACATGAGCAGGGGGAGTGGGAGAGGGAGAAGCAGGCTTCCCGCGAAGCAGGGAGCCCGACGTGGGGCTCATGTGGGGCTTGATCCCAGGATGCTGGGGTCATGACCTGAGCCGAAAGCAGACGTTTAACAGCTGAGCCACCCAGGGGCCCCCAGAAACCTTGATTTTTATAAAATAAGAATTTGCACTTAAGAAGTCCATGCATGCCCATCTGATTCCTTAGATTCAATAAATATTTCCAGTTCAGTGGTATATACAAAGAGCTTTAATACACTATTTCATTTAACTCATAACCAAAACTCATTTTACTGATTAGGAAATGGAGCCCCCAAAAATTAGATAACTCGCCCAAGATTCCAACAGAACCCAAAGTTATCATATTACATTGCTTCTCTGTAATACCTCCTGAAGCTGATTCAATAGTAATAAATATTTTTAATTTAATTGACATCTCACTGATTTTCTATTCAGATATATTTTAAAGGTATGATGATAGAGTCATTATCATTAAAATATGCACAATCCTCCCATCTTCAGAGAACATAGTTATACATGTCTTAAAAGACCACAGTCTCACTCTACAAGGATAGTGTCCAAAATATTAATTTGGTTAGAGTTCTGTTACAATGGGGGTCTAGTAATCAGAACAGTAATTATACATTGCCTGGGGTTAAAATGTCTTCCTCCAAGGACTTATTTAAATTAAGGAATTAAGCAGAATCCCATCATCAAAGAGATTTTGAGATCAAGCTGAAGGATTCCTGAGATCTTCAAAGCTCTTAATAACTATCACATAACTATAGATCTGAAAGAAGTGGCATAACAGCATCAACGAGAATTGACAGAGTTTAAATCACTTTTTGAATCTGGTCTTTCCTAAAACCACAATTGTTATGTCAGGGAGAATATGAGGCAACATGCCTCCGAGTTTGTAATTGGTACCTACTACCTTAATAGATGTTATAATTAGATGTCAGTGGTTCTAAATATAATAATTAGGGCAAGTTCTCCTTGGATGTGCAGAGAGTTAACAATCAAAGTTAGATTAGAAAAAAAAAATTAGAGAAATAACCCATTTCTTTGGGTGCCTTGATGTACCTAAAATATGTAACTACCAAATCTCCTTAGAAATGCTTAATCAAGAAAGACTGATTAAATGGTATAAATTGAATGTGTAAGCATTTTACGTATTTTATTATAACTTATTAAAGTGCACTGATATTTCATTAATGTTTTTAAATTAGAGAATATTATTACTACTGACTAATGTTTATTGAATACTTTTATTGAGCCTGAGTCTTTTCTAAGCACTTTATATATAACTGTCTCATCTCATCCTCAGAACATTAGTACTATCATTATCGTCATTTTAAAGATGAGGACATGGATGCACAGAAAATTTAAATAACTTCTTCAAAGTCACACAGCTTATGACTCGTGATCATAAGCCATGTGGGTGGTAGAGATGGGACATGAACCCAGAAGGTCTTATTCTATAAGACAATTTGATTGGTTCATGTTTAAGATTCTGACAGGAGAGCATACATAGGTACAGTGATGGGATCTGTAATTGAGGCTGAATCTAGGAGGAGGAGGTGAAACAAAGGGAAGAAATTAAATGGGCTAACAAGCTGCATATCTTGACAAGGCGAAAAGCAGGTTTTGTAGTAGTATCTGCGTGATAGAGTGGGAATTAAAAAAAAGTTGTTACCAGAAAGCAGCATGTTTCAATTTAAGATTTGAGTCCAAGGTGCTGACAAGGCCCGGTGTCCTTGTGCAGATACAGAGGTGGGTGGCTGAGGTAGATGGAAAGAGTGAGAGTAACTAGAGGTGCAGCTGGCAGAAGAGTGAGAGGCTCTGGTGCCATTTGGGGTGTCTATCTGGCACTTAATTCACCTCAAATTATGGTAGTACTTGGGGAGGGGGAAGAAACACCCTGAGTCACATTCTAAACATTTTATTAAAAAGTTGAAGAAATTTCCAGTTCAAGATGGTACACTGAACATATACATCAATTTCTTTGCCTTCTGAAACTCCGTTAAACTGATTATAAAGGCAGGAAAGGATAAGACATGCAACAAAGGAGGAAATGGAGAGTGTCATCAGTGGATGAAGCAGAAAAGAAATAGTGACACTCTGGGACACACCTAGAAAGGAACTTCCGTGGAACAGTTCCAGCACTTACCACTGAGGGTAGGAGAGAGAAAGGAGGTTGTAATGAAGGGTACTAACTAGTTGGACGTCCATACATAGACTCTTCACCTTTGGATGCAGAACAATTCTGCAGCTGAACATTTATTCCAGGCAAAAACACAGGAGATTTCATTTTCAGCCACATTAAACTCTTACGGGAGGGTACTAGGGGGCTATCTCGGAGTCAGTGCAACAGAATAAATCCAGTTCTCCAGCTTATTGGCTTCCTGACCTCTTTTCCTTAAACAAAACCCATCAGCCAACAAGCCCTGTCTGCAGAGTAGGGTCTCTCCATTCTTACATCATTCTTACATCTGCTATAAAAACCAAGAAGCAGTAGACAAGAATAATATCTTTTTTTTAAAAAAAGAAGACTCAAAACCCTAAAACATGAAAAAAAAGTAAAGACACTAAGAAGAGTAAATGGGGGAAAAAGTCAAGGAAAATAGAAAAAGTGACCACGGAGATAATTCTGAGAACAGAAAACAACCTTTAAAAAAGCTTGAATTCAACACTTGTACTTCTGGCTACATAACCAAAGGAAATGAACACAGGATATCAAAGAGATATCCGCACCCCCGTGTTCATTGCAGCATTATTCACAATAGCCAAGATATGGAAACAACCTAAGTGTTCATCCATGGACTGATGGTTAAGGAATTGTGGCATATATGTACAGTGGAATATTATTCATCAATAAGAAAGAAGGAATCCTGCCATTTGCAAAAACATGGACCTGGAAGGCATTATGCTAAGTGAGATAAGCTAGACAGATAAAGACAAATACTTCATATTATCACTTATATGTGAAACTAAAAGAAAAAAAAGGGGAAAAAAGTCAAACTCCTAGAAACAGAGTAGAAAAGTGGTTGCTGGGGGAAATAGGGAGAGTTTGGTAAAGAATACAAACTTTCAGCTATAAGCTAAATAAGGTCTGAGGATCTATGTAAATCATAGTGACTATAGGTGATCACACTGTGTTGTATAATTGAAATTTGCTAAGAACAGAACTTAAATGTTCTCTCACCCACACAAAAAGATAAATGTGTGAGGTGATGGATGTATTAATTAACTAGATAGGAGGAATCCTTCCACAATGTATACGTATATCAAATTACCACGATGTACACTTTAATATTCTCACAATTTTACTTGTCAATTATACCTCAATAAAGCTGAAATGAAAAACAAAAAATTTAAAAAGCTTGAATTGGCATCCTCAGTGAGATTCAACTGGATGCCAGTTTATGGAAAAGTAACATTCAAACAAACTCTAACATAATAAAAATATGATTGCCGCATTAGAAAAAAAATCATTATAAGTTTTGGGAAATAAAATGGAGGAAATCTCTCTGAACAGAAATACAAGATGAATAATGTGATGTAGAAGATAAGAGACATAGAACATAAACCCAGGCAGTTCAATACGCAATTAGTAGGAGTTTGAGGAAGAAAATCAAAGAAGGCAGAGGAATAGGGGTTATACAGAATAAATACAAGAGAATTTCCCAAAGCTGAAGAAGAAAACATGTCTTTAGGGCCCACAAAAAGCCCAGCACAAACCATGAGAAAAGACTCATACCTAGACACATAACTGTGAAATTTCAGAATATCAATTTCAAAGAGAAAATTCTGAATTCTTCCAGAGAGAAAAACAAGTCGTCTACAAAAGAAGCAAGAATTAAACTGACAACAAACTTAACATCTCCCAACTAGATGCTGCAAAATGACAGAGCCTTGTTTTCAGAGTCCTGAGAGAAAATGTTCATCAAGTTAGAATCTACTTCGGCAAGAAACCAGTCGAACATGAGCATAAAATAAATATATTTTCAGATGAGTGGGAACTCAGAAAGTTTCCACCCCAAATATCCTTTCTTCGGAAGAAGCTTGAGGGTGTATTTCAGCAAAATGAGGGAGTGAAGTACTACAGTCACCATTCAGAGGAGAACAAAGCTGAACCAAGAAATGGTGAATCACGTCATTGGAAACTAGACGCTAACAGTGTGTGAGTGCCTGTCTCTTGCCATTTCTTAAGTCAGATCTATTCTTTTGAGTAACTATTTTTTTTCTAAGTTGGAGTTGTTTTTCATGCCACTTATAAACAAGAGTCCCGATAGTCACATAACAGATGGAGGCGGTTGATGGAATGTGAAAGTAGAATCTTAAAAACATTCTCTACTGATCAACATAAAAAGTACTATTGGACCCATAGAGGATGAAACATAATCCGACCAAACTATTTAGGTCAAAAGCAATACCTATATATTCACAATAATTTGAGTGTTTATTGGTTTTAAATTTTTATAATTCACTATGGACAAATCACAAAAGCTTTTTTTGTAGTCAGAAATTATCAGTCAAAATTATTTATTATGTGTATATGAATAGAATTGGATTTACATAGAATAGAAGTTGGAAAGTGGAGCAGGGTGAAGAAACACAGAGAGAAGGGCAGGGAAACTTCCGCCCTCATCTTGCAAAGCAAGAGAGATCTCATCTCGGATGAGCAGGGTAAGAATTGTAGTACACATAACACGTTTTGCCCTGTCACCTCCACATACTATTGAGGACACATTGTAGGAGAAGAATATTTACAATAGTAGAAATATAGAGCCATATGATTTTTCATATAATTTCAGAAGTTTAAGAAATACATCTGCAGATTCGTATGATGGATATTAGTAGGTCTTCTCCACTAAGTAGTCTGATATAGTAGGTGACATCTATGCTCAGTATCTTCCCCCCCTTTTTTGGAACATTTGTTCTATGGCACAATAGAAAAAATGGCTAAAGGGCAAAAATAAAGTTTATCCAGGCCCATCTACAAATTATAAAAATATAAAATAAATATTATTAGAAATTAATGAAGTAGGGGCGGCTGGGGAGCTCAGCCGGTTAAGACTCTGACTCGTGATTTTGGCTCGGGTCATGATTTTGGGGTCCTGGGATTGAGCCACCTTCAGGCTCCATGCTCAGTGCAGAAGTCTGCTTGTCCCTCTCCCTCTGCTCCTCCTCCTCCTCTCTCTCTCTCTCACATAAGTAAATAAAATCTTAAAAAAAAGGAAATTTATAAAGTAATGTTAAGAGTTGCTAGACATCAAAGAAATGCAAAATAAAATACAAAAATGTGATATTTTTCATTTCTTGGATTGGCAAGGATTTAAAAATGGCAGCAGGCCCTTTCCCAATCAGCTGATAATAGAGGGAAGTACTATAAACTTTCTGGAGTGCAGTTGAGGAGTAAATATCAAAAATATGCATCCCCTTCGGGATAGTGATTCTACCTCTGGTAATGTACTTTAAGGAGGACGTTAGATAAGTGTACAAAGTTGCAAATACAAGACTATTGTTGAAACTCAGTTTATAATATTGAGAAAGTGAAAACATCTAAAAGTCTGTCCAGAGGGCATTAGACAAAGCCATATGGAACATATCAAAATGAATGATGTAGGTCTACATTTACTGACATGGAAAGCATCCACAATCTATTGTTTAGTTGTATAATCTCATTTTCATGAAGGAGAGGCAGGAAAAGTTTATGTAGATATATGCATAATAGAAACTCTGGAAATACGTTCTTCAGAGCATTGGGTTCCCAGGTGGGGTTCGGTGAGCATAGTCTTTCCTGGAAGCAGAAAAGAAAAGGAGATCATTATCTCTAACATATTTACAAACAGTAATAAAAGCCACTAAAGTCAGTCTGCTTTTTTATTACCACTGTGTCCAGTAATTCTAAACAACTTTAGTGATGATGTACTCCTTCATCCTGAAGCAGACCACTGCACTCCCAGTATACCCCACACTTGGTATGCCATTCCATCACGAGATCATGACCTGAGCTGAAATCAAGAGTAGGAGGCTTAACCCACTGAGTGCCCAGGCACCCCAAGAAGCAGATTTTAAAATAGTAAAGGAACTGGGAGAGGATATGGAACTTTGGGTAGCACATCTCATGTCACATCATTCAGGAACCTACCTACTGCTATCATGAGTAAGACCAGGTCTCTTAGGTTTTCAAGAGATAAATCCTATGTTATCACAAAAAAATCACTGGCCTTGACCTGAGAGCTATATAGTCTTAAACTTACACATCATTTTTGTTTATGTGTCTAGTAGATGGTATCAGAAAAGATGATAGCAGTGATTTATGGATGAGAAAATAGGAACGACATTACCACCATGGACTGAAGTTCTCAGTCAACTGTTATCTTCTCAATGTGAGTGAATCACTCATTCAAAATTGACCCCTCTCAATGTCAAGGATTTTTTATAGTTTACCTGTCTTTTTTTTCCCATAGATTTTATTACTTCCCAACATCCTATAATCTGGACAATGTATGTATTATTTCTACTGTTTATTCCTCTTTCACTCACATACAGCTCCATTTTGGTTTGTTTCAGTAATTTATCATAAGGGTATAGGAGCAATGCTCTGGATAAAGCTTAATAATATTGCTCTCTGAATGAATGAATGAATGATACAGATGATATGGAACTCACCTGCTGCTCACAGTGGGTCCAAGCTAGATAATGCTCAAGGAGAACACCTCCAGGTGTGACCAATAAAGGGTCAAACTCATTATTGTTAAACAATCAGATATTAACCATTGTTATCTAACAATGGTCATTTAATCCTTGTGCTACTGCTTAAGTGTGCCTTTCAGTTTTGTTCATTATAACATGGAGAATTAATAATAGGAGACTTTGCTGCAGCAATTCAGTCATTTTTCCCTGAGAACTGAGGAAAGATTACTGGCTTTTTATGAGAAGTGTCTGTTTTATGGATTAGTAAAGTAGAAATTAGTACAATTCCATGTCCACTTCTTTTTGACATTCTAATTGGTGAAATTTCAAAGAATATGTAATCTAATCAACGTCGTGTTCCACTCTGATAATTTTTCCAGTAACTTGTAGTTTAAAACACACACACACACACACACACACACACACACACACGCGCATGCATGCCATAATTGTGGACCTATTTTTTGACAAGTGATCTGCCATGCTCTCGGTGAATGGCTTGGCATCACAAAATTTGAATGGCAAAGCTACGCTGATGTAGGCAAGGAGTTGTATGGGTTCCTGTGGGCTCTGTCTGGACCATCAGATGCCTCCTCATCCAGGTTCACACTGATGAACCTTCACAGAGAAGGCAGCTGTAATGAAGGATGAAGGAAGTTGAAGGCAAGAGAAAAGAAGAGCAGATGAGGGTGGATTCTGTAGGACCACATGAGCTACTCAGGCATTAATTTGTTGTCCCACAACGTGATGCCACAAAAACTGGCTACGGTGAAGCATGAGCTCAAACCCACAATTTCTCTCTTGAATACCGAAGGCTAAAGAAAGTTTTTCTGTGATACTGAGGTATGCTCTTTTATTCTTTAGTAACCTCATTCCTACTATCACAGGAAAAAGGAAAAACATCCCCTTCGCCCATCTCCTAATGGAAGGCAGAAGAAAAGACCCTTTGCTGAATGCAAGAGGGGTCATGCTTGAGTGCAAGTCAGCTTGCTCTAGTTTTGCTTTTAATCAACTAAGAGAAATAGCCGATGTGTATTATTACATGCTCTAAGGTATATTTTCAGGGCCTGAAATATTACTTATGCCAGAATCTCCTTATCACTGTGATCCCCACAATTTGTCCTTCACTAGATGTGAGGTCCCTCCTTTGAAAAATCCCTAGTCACTGACCTCTTGGTGCTGTGTATTGAGTATCACCATAATGTCAAAACTAATATTTCATTGAAGCACAGAAACTTCCGTGGCTTCAGTATTTCTAACATAGTTATATCTTAGTTATAGACACAATAAAAATACTCGAGAAAAAACATATTTTCTAGGATACTTTAGGAAAATACCCATCTGCTCTACAATTCTTTTCTACCACCCCTCTGAATTTTACCAAGACCAAACAGGCAGCAAGCTTTTTGAAGCAAGGAAACATTGCCTACCTTGTGTGAGATTTTATCCAATCTTCTAACTTGAATGTACAGGCTAGAAAAGTTTTCTGGAACACAAAGCACTTTAATCATTATATTGCTACAGCCTATGTAACAATTAAATAGTAGAATACTTCATATATTAAACCAGCCACAAAAAACTTCAGTAAGAGACCAAATGAGATGGAGAATCAGTATCTCCTAACTCTCAATTCACATCTAAGAACTGACTACCTTATCTTATTTATGGGACTTATGATGTAAGGGAAATAATGGGAATGACAGCTTCCTTCCCATCAGCCATCCTGTGCAGAATGAATTGTCATTAATCTGAATGAATGTGTGTGTGTGTGTGTGTGTGCGTGTGTGTGTGTGAGAAAGACAGAGGTATGAAGTCACTGAAAAAGGCTAAAGCAGAAATAGTAAAAGCCAACATCCCCCAGGAGAATAATTTAGGTATTTGAGAGTCAAAGACCTTAATGTGGCAGACAAACCCAAGTTTTAAGATGAGGGAGAATCTAGATTTCTCTCTTCAACAGGATTGATTTTTCCTTCTCAACCCAAAGAGGATTAATCCCATTTTTGACCATACCTTTGATTCAGTTGTCACTTTGACCTCTGTGTGAGATGTGATATAGGAAAAGAAAAATAAATGAGAGTGAACAGACTTGAAAGAGAGGGAGGGTCAGAGAGAGCTCTGGCCTGGTTCACTTGTGGGGCAATAGAGTTATAATACACAGAAATGAACCAAACTCTTGCTTTTCCCTCTTCTCCCTTCAAACACTGCCTATAATTTTGCTTTTGCAGAAGAGAGACTACTACTTTATATTCTGTCTTAATGGAAACAGGTTCTGAGGTGGAGAGATGCAAGCAGGGTTTAGTTTGTGGATAGGGTTGGAGGTAGAGAGAGGTTGCTGTCAGGAGACAACACCTGTAGGGTGGGGAAGAAGGCAAGATGGAGCAAAGGGAGACACTGACCGGTGGAACTATTGCAAAGGTAGGCCAGTCTACCCTACAGGGGCCTCAGCAGTTGGGATGGCCCTTCAGAGTTGTCACAAGTGGAGTAAAGGGGGACAGGCTTGTGTCTCTTCATCAGTCTGTGATTTGGCTTTAGGCCACCGCCAAGAGGACGTAATCCTTGAGAAGGCAGCTCCCCATAGCTTAAGGTAATACCCAGGGAGGGAGGCAGCCATATTCCCAAGCCCAGGGGCATGAGTGCCCTGACCCTGAAGAGGGGATCTGGGCAGAGAACCATGGCGTTTATTATGTATTCTCACAAGTAATTGTTTTCATCAGATAGAAAGATAGGCATGACTGCAGAGATAAGATGTCAGAGAATTAAGAGAAAATAAGAGAATTCAAAGTTAAGTAGTAACTTGCAAAAACAAATTGGAACTTAATGTGTACACTGCATTTTCTCTATATCTGTCTTAAAAAGTAATTCAGAATTGCTCTATTCACTACAGTGGCTACTAGCCACATGTGTCTATTGAGCACTTGAAAATGTGGCAAGTCCAAATTGCGATGTGCTAAAAATATAAGACACACACCAAATTTTGGAGGTTTGATAAGAGAAAGATATGAAACATCTTATCAACAATTTTTATATTGGTAACATATCAATGTAATATTTTAGCTATATTGGGTTAAGATATGTTATTAAAATTAATCTCACGCTGTTTCCTTTAACGTTTTTAATGTAACCATTGACAAACTTCAAATTAGTGTTGTGTCTCACCTATATTTCATTGCACAGAGCTGGTCTAGACTAATCTTAAAGTCTGACAAAGGGGTCATTATCTCACGCCACAGCCTAAGTCAAAGCATTATTGGAAAGGGCCACAGAATGAGGAGTGCAGAAACCTCCACATTCTCAGAAACTCACTTCCTTGGCCTTTCTAGAATGGTCATCCCAAAGCACCTTATTTAGTTCTTGAGAGGCCAAGATAGCACCTGGGTTGTATAACCAGTTTGCGCCCATTGGTGGAGTGAGAATGGATGCAGGAAGTAACCATCCTTCTTGAGAACCAAAGCCTCTGGGAAGTAAAAAAAAAAAAAAAAATGCTTGCTTTACTCACAGATTGGGAGATTCTGACTCATTTTAAACCCTTTCCTCAGGACAAGGGAATTGTACCCACCACAGCTCAGCGATCAGTGTGGGTGGATTAGAAATCAACTGGAGCCCGGGAGCCAGTTCTTGGGTGCAGTAGAATTGTTCCTCTGTGTGCCGGGAATATGACCCACATGTGGCACTAGGTGACGACCAAGCAGAGGCATGAGTCAGAATGAAAGCAAAAAGAAGGTAATGTAAAGAAATTACTTGTAATTTGTTTCTATCACCAACTGTGCTGTACTTTTGTATTTATTCTGTTTATTGCCATCAATTCCATACCAGCCACAATTTCTCCAGCTCGTGATTTTATTTCAACATCATCCAGAATCACTCATTGCTTCCACTCTCACTGCCAATAACCAAGTCCAGATGTTCATCACCACAGACTCACTGGCTCCAACTTCCTCCCAGTTTTTCTCTCTTCAATATGATTTAGTCCACTAACCCTTTGTAGATCGTCTTTTCTACAACGTGTTGCTCTACTGCTCAAAAAACTAGAACGGCTTCATATTGGTTACCCAGTCAAGCCCAGATTCGGTTTGGCATTCCAACAGACATGCAAAGCATGTTCATTTTCCTTCTTCCTTCTTCCTTCTTACCTTCACTTACAATACACTTCCTTCTCTTCTTCCCTTTGAAATTACTATGAAATATGAACATCTACTATACCCCCGGCATTATTCAAATTCCTTACTCACTCTAATTCAGAAGCTTTTCTCTGTTGATCCCTGACTTTTCTGAATTCTATCATACCTATAATTTGCATACCACACAATTACTGCATGCTCATATTTTTTTTTCTGATTATTTTGTGCCTATCATCGTTGAACTTTCAACCAATTGGTTAGTTCCCCAAGGTCAGAGATTACACCTTATACTTCAAATGGGAAAAAGAAATTAATATTTACTGAATGTTTTCTTCGTGTCAGTCGCTGTAAAATGTGTTCAACATTTGTTACCTGGAATTCTCTGTAGTCACCTTTCCTTGTGTGTGTGCTTTCCCTTCATTGTTTCTGTGTTGCTCTGCCAGACTGCCTGCCCTGATGCCAAATACTCGAACTGAAGTACGGAAGGTAGCAGATTTACTGGTGCTTTGGGACAATGATGGTGGAATTTCCGCTGGTAATTTCTACTTGGACTGTAGCCTCCTGCCTTGCTCCTGGGATTCCCTCTCACATTAACAGTTTCTCCCTTCCTCTCTAGCTCCTTCTAACTGATCCTGTTTTATGCAAAAAAAACGGTTCAGGTATTTCTTTGGTTAATTTGCCAGTGGAGCTATAAGGAGGTCCCATTTTCAAAAATAAGCACACACATTAGGGGGCTTCTAAAATAAAGATCGTTCTCTTTCTCTGAGAGGTATTATGAGAGTGTTAAGTCATTAAAAAATCTGTCATACAGACATTTTCTCATTTAATCCTCTCAACAATCCATTACATGGTCTTTCATGTAAGATAGGAATTTGTGGTTCAGCTATTGGCATTATAAAACTGATTGTTTGGATTTAGGAAATGAAAGTTTCTAGTTACAAAACATATTGTCTCGTTTCTAAGTTATTTGGTTAGAGAATTGGTCAGATGCATTTGAGTCATTTCCTGTGTGAAATACAATGTTTATACATAAGAGTAGCTTGATATTTGAAAATTGTAACTTCTTTTGCAGACGAACTCTCATATTTCTTTAGATATGATTGCATGAGTGAGTCCGGTCTGGTGGGAGAAACCACAGAGTAATTTGAACAGGTAAAATTTAATATAAACAATTATTAACTACAATGGGTTTAGAGTAACAGAAGATTAACTAATAAGTAAAAAGAACTCTAAAGAATACAGAAATAGGGGTGCCTGTGTGTCTTAGTTGGTTAAGCAGCTGCCTTCAGCTCAGGTCATGATCCTGGGGTTCTGGGATGGGGTCCTCCATTGGGCTCTTTGCTTAGCGGGGAGCCTATTTCTCCCTCTCCCTCTGCCTGCCACTCCCCACTGCCTGTGGTTGTGGGCTCTTTCTCTCTGTCAAATAAATAAATCAAATCTTAAAAAAAAAAAAAAAAAGAATACAGAAATAACAGAGCTATGAAACAGCCACTTCCCTTGTGCCTGAGATAGACAACCCAAGGCTGAGATTCAGATGTTATTGGAAAGAGCAGCCATAGGTTATTGAAAGCAAAGAATTTGCCAGGGTACCACAGGAACTTGCTGGAAGTCTGTCTTCCACAGCTTGCTGGAAATGTGCCCTCTGGGTCCCAGGGAAAGCTGTTCATGGGAGTGTTCATGGAGACACTGTACACATAACTGAAGAGATGCAGCGACTGGCCACTGAGTCCTGCTGGCTGCCACGCAAGCCCCTGGTGCTGGAGAAAGCCACGTGTGCCACAGGAACTGGATGCTGGAGAAGCCACCTACACTTGCCCAAGCTCGCCACGCACCCGCACGAGAACCAGGAAGCAAACCCCTTTCTTTCCGCATTATTTCTCCAGCACCCTCTCCAGGCAAAGTTTCATGTCAATGCCAGCTGGCAAAGCAAAAATACTCGAAGGGCCCAGATGCATGTTTAGGGACCATATAAAAAAGTTGAATTTGGAGATGACAGATAATAAATTGATAACAAAAAAATTACATTCACAAAAAATCCCCCACTTTCCAATGTATACTTCTAAGATGGAAAACACCCTTTGTGGTTCAGGCATCTATAAAGCCTAGGATAAATGGACAGAGAGAGGAAAAGAAATGAGCAAGTAAAATCATGTTGATTTACATTATAAAAGGAAGAGCTTGAGAGGAAGAGTGGGGGAGATAAAAAAAGAATACAGGAAGGTTTCAGGAAGATAATTTTGAGGAGTTTTGAAGAGATATTGATATTGGGTTTCTCCCAAATACAACCCTGTGCTGAGAGGTCACAGACAGGACCAGCTTTATTTGGGGAACCGTAACATTTTAAAGCTTTTCGAGTCCATCAGACTTTTAAACATTCTGATTTTTTTTCTTTAACATATCAAAGAATAAATACAACAAAACTTAGTCTAATACCCTGCACATAAGTATTTACTAAATCATCGGTGTTATATTTATTGTTTCTAAACCAACAAGTCCTGATACTGCATGATAATCCTCTTACTTAGTTTCTAATTAGTCATTTTCCATTCATCAAAGCATGTTAAAAATCCTGACTGCTTTCCTTAAGTCCCCATGTCCATCCTGAAATCTAAAGCCCAACTTGGTGGGTAATCTAGTGATTGATGCCAATAGAAAAACCTCACCAGCCTCCTACTTTTGTGCCTTTCCACTAAACTGTATCTTTTATTCATATTTATTTTTCCTGCTTCAACAGCAGCAGAAGTATCTATCCTTCTATCCAATCTTCATCCTTTCCTTTGCTCTTGATTTCATGCCCTTTCTTCTTCCTATGCCTTTTGTGGCAACAGTTATGCCCTCCTTTCTCCCTTTGAGTCTTGAATCTCTCCCTGTTTCTTGGCTCTTGCTCCTTAGCCTGTCAACAGGCTTAAAACTTTGGACTCCCTTTCAAAATTTTCTCATCTTTTTCTCTCTTTTTCACAATACCCATTTAAAGATCGCCTATGCTTATTGCATCCATTTTCTCACCTACCAAAACTCACTCTTTGTTGAAGACTCTCTGCCAGGCTTGCTTGGGAGACACTTTCCTTAGGCTAATCATGTAATGTAGTCAAATCGAGCCCTCATTATAAGGCATATTTTAAACCTTTTTTAAAAAGTACCCTGATCACTGAATATTGTGAGCAAAGACGGACATGGTACCAACTATCCATCCTTCCATCTGTCCCTGACCAAACAATGATTGTCTAAGCATTCTTTTCCTCAGATGGTTACAAGGTAGTGACCTTCCCTGGGCCAGAGAATGACTTGCTGGGCCAGTTGCTGAGGTGAATGTTGGAACGATAAGATTGAGTCTCAAGACATCTTTTGACCAGGATGGATGTGACCAGAGCATAGGCATCTCACACTCTTTCCCCCACCTCTGGTTCCATCTAGAGAAGTCTTGACCTTTTCTCATGACGATTACATCAGAAGTTGGCATCCTTTTTCACTCGTTTATTTTCATCTCAAACCCTTATAGTGCAGCTGAACCTAGTTTAACTATTTTATAATTATTTGGGTAAATAAAGCTTAGTAATATTTTAAATCAAATGGTATGTTTATCTGTGAGATATTTCAAACTTACTATATATTTTAAGCAAAAATTCTTTATTCTAAACAGAGTTAAAATGACTTTTCCTTTTCTAACCATATTTGATGGTAAAATTTTCTTTTACGGATTATCAGGTGTTCTCCTTTTTCTTATCTCTAGGTACTATCCATCCTCAACGCCCCCACCCCCAAGATGGGAAAACTCTAAAAAGGACTTTGAAAAATCTCCTGGACATGCCACAATCCAAGGCAATCTTCTGTCTCTCATCCCTGTTGGAAGTAATTCTCTCCTTCCTTTCTCTTACAGCATTGGTCATTGTATCCCCTACTGGTATTTATGAACATGGCTAATCTCTGTATAAGTGAATCCTAAAAGCAAAATCCTTATGTTACTCATTATTGAATAAAAGATCCTCACTATTAGGTAAAAAGTCTTGTGGGCAAGAGCCTTATTTTAATTATTAGTGCCTAAAATACAGTACCTTATAAATAGTAGGACTTAAAAATATTTATGAATTGAAAAGAAATAATTCGTCATTTATTAGATGTGTGAATATCCCTGTTAAATTTGTTTTTCCTTCTTCATTTTTGTTTCTTTATGTATGTGTTATGGTGTTACTGTCTTTTTAATCTCTTTGCTTCTATTTCATTTGGCTTCTATTTATTCCCTTTTTACCTTCATTTTATCTTCTTTTTCCTCTCCTGCATGGAACACAGCATTCTACATGGAATGACATGTTTTGGTTTGTTTCTTGCAGTTATTTGAGTTTTGCATTTTATCCCAAAATAAATGAGTGATAAAAATAAAACACCGAACTCAGTTGTCCACTAAAAAATTCAGGGCCCTAGCTGATCTTTCTTCTCCACGAGGTTAGTAGCTTTCAATAGAAAAAACCATATAGTTTAATTAAATGCAAGAAACATCACTCTTAGAGAAAGATTTGGGATATGCTTGTCAAATGAGATAAATCCCTTGAAAGATGCAATTTTGAATTCAACAGGTTATCACAATTATTAGCATAAATTGTGCAAAGTACAGTCATGAAATTATAAACCTGGGTAAAATGCTAAGAAAAAATAAATTCGGCAGTGGAAACATTGGTGTGGTATTGAATTGTTATTAATCTCAGGTGGGCAACCCTGTCCAAGATAACATAACACTGTATCAGTCGTTTTGGTCATTTTAGCACTATACAAATCCTTTCAGCTTGATGAATTATCATTTTATGGCCTGTTAAGGATTCAAAATTAAGGAACTAACCATCTAACAGTCCACTCATCCTATGTGTTTATACAATAAAATACAAGCATATTCATAAGAGACAGCAGAAGACAGGGTTTGAAGGAAATATTTAAGTTGAAAAAATGCTCATCTTTGGTTCAGTATTCTTTTATATACACAACTGAACTAAACACTTAAATTTCTTTTGTGTCAACATCATGCCCATTTATGAAATTAGTATGTAAAAAAATAATATCCTTCATCAAATATATTCAACTTAAATAGTGGTCCAAACGTATTCTAACAACTGCATGGTTAAAGACTACTTCCTATAAAGTCTGTTTCTCTTCCCATGGTCCCATTTAGGATCTGGCCTTTAATTTGGATTTAAAAATTATGAACAAATAGGGCTCACAGCCAATTTCATCTTCAAATGAGATACTTATGGGATGACTAGTTTCATGTAAAGAGGAACTTGGTAATACTCTGTGTGGAAAATATCTAAAAATTACAAAAAACATCTGCAATGCTTTCCATCTGTATTTCCTATTTTATAACCTATGACCTGAGTTAAAGGTTTAAGGATTTAGAAACAAATAAAATCACCACTTGTGTGGGACAAAAATTACTGTTGACATGCTACAGCCCAATCTCACTCTCTCATTCTTTTTCATTGCTGACCCAGTTCAGTACAACAACACTGTCACATTATTCTTGAAGGTAAAGACAGAATCTAATTAAAACTACATAATTGACCTAGTTAAGTCCTATAACCACTCAACAAATAAGTGTTGATCTTCTTATTTACACTGATACCTATTTTTTTCCTCCACCTATAGATCTGGACATTATATCTTCCTTCTGGTGACACTAAATAGCCTATTCAGAGCAATCATGATTCATTACAGCCATCACTTACTTCTTGGGATAAGCCCTCTAGGCTAAATGTTGGGTGTAGGGGCTCCAATCCTGTATGTATCCTACTTATCTTCAAACATAGGTCTAAAGCTGACTATTTTTATGCTATGCTTACAGCTGTTCTATTACAATTGCTGTTGCTTTTCTGGCCACTCTTGCTACTAGGTTCTAAACATTAATTCCTACTAAAGTGCCAAATGCAAGGTATGTTCCATGCAATATCCAAATTCTCGTGGCAGTCCCTCAAGGCTGGTTTTAATTCCCTATGGTCTCAGAGAGATTAAGTGACTTGCCCGAGGATCCAAATCCAATTATGTCTCAGTCCAGGCTCTCTCCATAAAAACAAAGATGTAAAATTGTATATCTAGTGTGACACATGAAGGAGAAATTCACAAACTGGAGGAGAATGAAAAAGCTTATGTGATATCAAATTAACTTTATAACTTTTTGAAGGAAATAAAATAATTTTCTTGCCTTTTTCTTTATTGCTATGACTAATGTAATCGTTTATCAGGTTTTGGAAATAAGCACTTTGTTATGCTCAGGGTGAGTGAAGTTACTCCCCTTGCATGTTCTCTCCATTCTAGTTCTGAAAATGTGAACTGTGCTAGATTCTGGGAAGTGCCACAGGGGTTTCGTCTTTGAGGAACATAAAGGATGTCTGCTGGAGAGATGGCAAAGAAGGGCTTCCAACCATGTGCAAAGACACACTGTTGAGAAAGGATCAGGGTGCCCAGAAGACTGTGGCAACATCATTTGGCAGGAAATGTCAATAATACAGAAATACTGTATGATATACAAAATAAATACTAATAAGCACTTTACTCTGGGGTTGAATATTGTTACTTTTTTCTCACTCTTTATTGTTCTTTCCCATCAGCACATAAGTGTGGTCAAGTGTCTCACATTTGAAATGCAACAATGACAGGAAACTTCAGATCCTCTTTGGGTTCATGTTCAACTGAAATGAAAACACCACCAGAAGCCTTCTTTTCCCTAAGGCCTAACACCCTGATATATTAATTTGTAGACAGGAAAATATTCACCTCTCTTACAGTGTTTTATGTTTTCAACATCTGCTTGTGACATGCCCACACGGTCCTTTGGAAAACCACTTCTTACTCATTTAGGTGCTGCCTCAATGCTTTACAGGCAAGATGTTTGTATAAACTGTAAATTATTATATTTTAATTTCATATGGCCTGAAATGATATCAAACTTTTGGTATAAAACCTTTACAGTCTTCTATCCACAAGGTTGGCCAATGATCTACTGGCTTGGAAATGCCTCTTGTTCTAAAATTTCCTGACACTTCCAGGTTTTTCAAACCTGCCTTGAAACGCATGACTCCAGCCGATGTACCTGTCCTGTGAGACTCCTGCAATGCCCTTTAGCAGATATGAGCTACCTTCAAATGTGTAATGTGCTTGCCAGGTATTTAGTTCACAGCTGATATTACCACAAGTCATTAGACAAGGTCTCCAAATGAAAGCAGCCAGGGAGCCAGAAGCATAGACTAGGGCGATGCCAGAGTTGTAAGGAATCTTTGACACCACTTAATCCAGTTGCTCATTTTCCAGGAGAGGAAACACCGGACCTGTGTGAGATGAGGTTGCCCAAAGTGCCCCAGCCAACTTAAGGTTTTGTGGGGATGAAAACTAGACCTTCCAACTCCAGGCTGATGTTTATATGTCATGAGCATATTCTGTAAATCATCCCCGAATATTCAAAGTATTAAACTGTTCAGTAACATTTGATCAAAATGCTGCAATTATTACTTGTACCATAGTTTGAGTTTTCAGGTATCATCACATGTTAAGTTTTATACTATTTGAAACACGTATTTTAAAAACTTTGAGGTAGAAGTAACACTTCTTTATTGAAAAAGAAATTACTGGAAAACACAGATGAAAAAACCTGATATTTGTTGACACCTCAAAAGCAGTCTACATATGTTACAGTAGTACATTTAGCTATTTTATGCATTTGGTTTCCTGCATAGTTTCCAAAATGTTCTAGAAGACAGCAATACTTTAAATGGAGTCAGCTGGAGTTTTTAAAAGTATTTTAAGAAAACCACAATCTTCTTTTGTCCTCCTGCATTCCCAAGAGTTCTGATTGGTTGATATTCATCTTTGCTTGGTTCTTATCAACAAAAGCTAATGTTAGACTGAATGTTAATGAATCCATCAAAACCACAGAAGAATTTTCTTTTCACTCCCTCCAACATTTTGTTTCTCCTTAGTCGTAGGAGGTAACACTTTCCATGCAGCAGACCATCCGAATAAGTGTGGGTTAAAATGGTCAGTTGTGGCTCTGTGTCAGTCATGTGGGTCTTCATGCTAAAAGCGGCTACTTGTCTACTGGGAGAATGTCCTGAAGGCTGGGCCCTGTGTCTGTCTCCAGATGGTCATACTTAGTTTGGAAACACTGAAAATATCACAGTCACAGAGAGGTTACCCTTCTACCTGGGGTTAGGGACAAAAGGAGGTAGACATTTTCTCTTTATTCTCTAATAACATCCAGCATCTACTCCCTGCTAAATCCTGGGTGATCCCAAAACATCTCCACCGACACAGGTAATCTTCCTTGAGCATAGTGCTATGTTCATGGAGGGAAAGCTGAAAAATAAGCCTTGAGTTACCTGATGCTGCTTCATAATACCTCACCTTTGATGGTGCTTCATATTTTTCAAAGTGGTTTCATATGTACACATATATCATCACTTACTCACAAAAGCTGAACAAGTGGTGGGAGAGGCAGAATTCTAAGATGGCCTCCAAGATTTCTGCCTGCTGGTGTATATGCCCTCAAAATCCCCTCACTTTGAGTGTGGGCAGAAACTATAAATATAATGAGATAGTCACTCCTGTGATTCCAGTTAAGATTTTCTTAGCACACAAAAGAGAGATTGTCCTGCTGGCTTTGAAGAAGCAAGGAGCTGTGAGCGGGCCACATGGTGAGGGCAGCCCTCGTTGCTCAGAGTGATCCCCAGTGGACAGCTAGCAAGAAAACCGGAATCTTCATCTTCAGCTATAAGGAGATGACAGTCAACAGCCTGAGAGAGTTTGGAAGTCATTCTTGGCCCAGTGCATCCAGATGAAAGCATCACCTGCTCCACAACTTGATTTCAGCCTTCTGAGACCCTGTGCAGAGGCCCCTGTCCAGGCCTCTGACCTACAGAACATGTGTAATAATAAAGGGCTGTTGTTTTAAGCCACTAAGTTTGTGGTAATTTGTTGTGTAGCAATAGAAAACTAATGAAAGCCAAGGCAAATAATAATACAACCATTTCACCAACAAGGACACTGGTTCAAAAAGATGAACTGATTTGGTTAATTTTATTTTGAAGATGGGTGACAGGACTGATAGCGATACCTTGGATCCTCATTTATACTCCAGCATTCTTTCCACATACCGTAATGCTCCACACTAATTATTATTGGTGAGTATTCTTTACCCCTGCCCACCAACAAGATAGATTCTTGAAAGCATATTATATTATCTTCCTTCATGCAGCTCAACGGAAAGTAAAGCAATGATTTTATTAATCCTCACATCAGTTCTGGAGTATAGTAAAAATATTAATCAGTATCATATTAAATGTTAAGTTGATAATATTTTTAAAGGTTCTCAAATCAAATGTCAATCCTCATCACTACACAAACAATATTGTGAATAGTCAAGATCGGGAAATGTAATAGGTAATTCTACCCACTTTTTGTATTGTTTCTTTGGCGTATTATTTTTGAAAACCACTACAAAATTCCTTATTTTGAGACAAGGCAAATCTAAGCCTTTGTGCACCATCATCGTCCCCCAAGCCTGAAAAACAAAAGAGAGTGAGAGGAAAAATTAAATGCACATTCAATTAAGAATTCCTTTGGCCAAAGTAAAAATAAGCACAGCAATTTACTCACTTGGCCACATTTTTTGCAGATAATCTCGCCATTTGTTTGATAGTCTGCAAATTTCTTTCGTAGTGCTTTGTTTTCTCTCACAATGTAGAATTCCCTAAAATTATCAAGAAGTAAAAAAAAAAAAATCTCTGAGAATTTGCAATGGACAGATATGCAGCCTGTGGGTATATGCTGTTGGATCTGAAGCTCATCCGCAGGCATACCCATCCCAAATCTTATTCCTTCTCTCCTTTCGCCCCTGCGGATCATCAGGCAGATGCCCCTTTTCCACACACACCTCTCAAGGGTCATGTTGCCTTTGATGGCTTCTTCTAAGTCTGCCTATTATTTTAATGAGACTTAAGTTGTCCCAAATTCTGAGAACACATATGAGTATACACCAAACTAATGTGCCTTGGATCAAAATGGCTTTGGGTCTTACCCTTCTCCCTCCTTGCCCCAGTGCAATATTTGAAAAAAAAAAATGACATTTGAAATGGGGATATAATGTGGGGGCTAAAGGAGGGGAAGTTCTGAAAAATAATGAGTCTCATTTGTACTATTTTGGAAGAACATTCACAATACAAGCAACTTCACCTCCTATAAAGAAACTTAAAATTGAGTCTTCCTGGACTTACTTGAACACTGGTGTCATGTTGACGTGGTGCATCTTCTCGATAACGTGGATATCTTCTCCAGAGCAGGCTAGCACACTGCAGTTTTTGCAGAGGAAATTTATTAATGATGGGTTTTCCTTGTAGTACTTTGCAATACTTCTCTTGATTTTCATTTTCTTTTCCATTATACTTTGCATCTGTAATTCCAAAATCTGCATTGAGAAAAAAACAATGTTTCTTTTTTTTCTACAGTTTGACTGAAGTAATTCTCCTGGAATTCAGAGATCTTAGATAGTTATAAAAATGTACACTTGGCCATAGTCTAGAAATATATATAATGAGGTGATCACCCCAAAGAATTTAGCATATAATCCTTCCTTAAAAATTAAGGAAAATTAAACCTTGTGATAAGACAATGTGGAACCCTCTGGTGTTCTGAAAACAACCTATTTCATTTTAGACAAGTTCTATTGTGAGAAAGTCCTTAGCAATATTCCACAAAAAACTCACTTCTAAACTCTCTACCTCACCATTAGTTTTAATTCTGTCTCATAAAACAAGTCTAAACCTTCTTTTACATGGAATATCTTTGAAGAACAAACAGTGCTATTACATTACCAATCGTCTTCTCTTACCTGTGATAAGCTCCCCAGTTTCTTTAAGTTCTTCTCACACATCATTTCTAGACCTTTCGCTATCTTAGTCAATCTCCTCTTTATACATTTGTGGCAGAAACTACTGGCTTCCCACCCAGTTTCCATTCTTACTGGGAACAGAACTATAATCGCATCCTGGGTGGGAATATGCTAGCTAAATGACTACATTTCCAAGCCAGTGGTCAATGAAACATAAGAATAGAATTTCCAGAAAGACTCCTTAAGTATCAGATAGCTGCCATATGCACTTTTTGCCTTTTCCATTTTCTTCCTTCTTCCTGCCTGAAATGAGCATGTGACAGTAGAATTTCAAAAAACTATCTTTGACCTGGATAATGAAAACCAAATATTAGAAGGGCAAAGAAGAGAGACAGAGAAGAGTCTTGGCTTCCTCACAACACCATGGAGCTATCATATGGGTGTAAATTGCCCACATTTTTTATGAGAGAATAAGTCCTTAAACCCTTGTATTCTAGGCCCTGTGGTTAGTGGCATAATTTATTTCATAACAAAAACAATGTAGAGACACAAAACTTGAGATAGGCACTGGCCGGTTCTCACAGCTATACCAATTCACAGTAGGAAAACCTGGTTCTTAAGTAATTTACCTCCAAACCGAACCTCTCTCAGATGGCAAATTTATATTAAATTGTGGAGGAAGTCATTGTTTTCCTGAAGGCTAAGGGGAAGTTTTAGTAAACGTAAACTATCAGTGCTGATGAACAAAGCTGAATGGTCCAACTTTGACTCTCATCTCTGTTTTGGGCTTTGATTCAAGATAGCCATATTTAGTACAAAAAAGAAAATTAAACCTTGTGAGCAACCCATGGGCCATATAATAATTTAATCGGACAAGTACAAAGACTGTCCTGTAAATGATAACAATCAGGTTGTTCTTGCAAGATATTTATAATTCAGTGAGCTGATAAAAGATGATTTGGCATAGGACCACGTACATGGCGGGCAATCAAGGAACACCTGAAGGTTTGACAGGAAAAATAAAAATAAATCTAAGGTTAGTGTATGGGTATGTATCCAGGACACCAGGAACTAAAGGATTAGTTCCAAAATAGTAAAGAATATGAAACAATTAGGGGGGCAAAAAAATAAAACAAAGCATAAGAAATATAAGGGAGGCACAGCTGTAGTCAGTCAAAGTCTAAATAAAATGTAATGATGTGGGAAAAGTTGTTGAGTCATTGTTAGGGAAAATGCTTCAAATCTTCACATTGTTTCTAGAAGTTTGATTTAGAGGCTTTCAGTTAGGTACAAATTCTGTATAAGACATGGAAAACAGACCTCACCTTCCATGTCAGTGCTCACCATTTATTAGTGGCTGCCTGAAAATTGTGTTGAAAAGGATTCTTAACTCAGAAGAAGGGAATGCTGGGACCTAGTAGCGATGTCTGCTTTAGAGATGTCTGCCAAGGGAGCCAAACAGAATAGTAGTGGAATGTGCCCCTGCATCATTGCCATCCCTGCTCTGAGTTTGTCAGCCTGGAGTAGCTTTAGGAAGGCAGGTCTCTTAGCCAAAGGAAACCTAAAAAGGTAGTTGGTTCTGGGGCCCCCAAGAGAGACTGTATCTTACTGTAAGCATAATCTGGAAAATTTCGACTCATAAATTCTGGAGATGACCTAGAGTTTACCCAAAACACCCGGTCTTGAAACATCAATCTTTGAAAATATCCACTGGATTAACTTTCCAGTGACATTATTTGGCCACAGATGTTTGATTTGACATTACCAAATGTTTGGTTTGCCTTACATTTAAAGGGGTTTTAAAATATAAGTTTGTGTAGAAACCTGGCCAGGAAACCTTGGAGTTGGTTATAGCAATGCACACCAATTTAAAAGCATCCCTTTCGTGAAACTCTATTTAGGGTAGAGCCAATTCCAATGTTAAGAAACTAACATTCACACCCATATGCAAGGGTGTGAATTTTCTTCTAAATGGATTGTTTGCTATTATAGTAGTTACAGTCTTTAATTCAGTGGTATGGGGGATTTCCTGAAATATTGTAGAAATGCATTCTTCCTTCACTGCATTCCTCTTGTAGCTCAAATGACTCTACGCTAGTAAATTGAGATGAAGCCGATGACATATTATGTATCTAGCCTCAATGTCGCTCCTTCTAAGAGACCTTCCCCAAATACCCAATCTATAGAGTATTCATCTAATGACTTGTTTTGTATTGTCTTATTCTAATTCTGTAGCATTTATCCTTGTGGAATGCATTTCTTGCTTCATTTCTGTTTCTTGTTTCTCCTCCTCAAATCTCATTATGTATACTCTAGAATATAAGCCTCATGAAGCAGGGATCTGTCTGTGTTATTTGCTACCATGTTCTCTCTTTCTAGAACATTGCCTGGTACACAGTAGGCACTTCATAAAGATTTCTGGAATGAAAAACTTGTGCCTGTACAAACAGATTGAACCAAACCAAAATTACCAGGTTGCCTTGAATGGGTGAGATGTACTAGTCTTTCTGATCAAGGGCAGACTAAATTTATATCATCAGAGTTTATGGTTGGTTTCACTGGAACAGCAGTCTGACAATTTCTGCCCATCATAGATCTTGATTCTTTGTGTATGAATCTGGACTAAGTACAGCGCATTCCAACTGGAACTTAAAATTCAGCACAATTTCTGTCTTGAGACTTAGCCCCTTAGCTATCAATGGCAACCACATGCAGCCACTTTAAAATGAAAAATAAATTCAGAGAGGGCCAGAAACAATACCTTACGAGCATACTCCTCTGGGTTCATATTTTGAACATGGTCTATAGCTTTATACATCATTTTCTCTCGGAAATCATTAACTATCTCACGTTCAATAACTCCTGAGTTACTGTGGGCAACCAGGACATAGGTGCTCTCATCAGCTCTGGCTCGACCACGGGCCTGAGAACATAAAGAAATCAAGTAAAGGAAGGGTTATGCCTTTCTGTGAACTCTCTCATTTTTGGCCTGGAGTAGTATTCATTGCTCCATGTCCCAGCCTTCAAGTAATTTCTCTATTCTCTGTAAAGTTAGTTATTACCCATTTTTTGTAAGTCGGTTATTTGAAATTCAAAATGCACTTTAATGAACAATGTTTGAGAGCAATGATGGTTAGGTTACCACCCCAACCCTCAAGACCCTCAATTACACAAGACCATCCTGTAAACCCTTTTTGTTCCCAGGAACCTGCCCTCAACCCTGGGAACCAGCATCATTGACTTGGACTGGGGAGGCACTCCTCCAGCCTGGTAGGAGGGATGGATGGTAAGAAGGAACATCTCTGACCTTGACACCAGGCTGGTGAGAAGGCAGTTCTGCTCCTGGTAGCAACATTGGATTTTGAGCACATTTCCCCATGAAAACATGCTCAACACGGTGATAAATTTCTATAGTCCCCTTTAGAAATTGATATTTAGGTACATTTTGAGTAACAGAAAAAATGTTGTGACCTGGCCCAGGAACCTAACTACCAACTGTAATATGATCTGTATAAAAATGCATTCGGTGTTATAAATTGCTAACAGACTAACTCTTGAAATACAATTACTTCTTAATTTGGTGGTTATCTGGTTATCTTGGTCTTCCATGACTTCCATGCAAGGATGCAATTTAATGTATTTAAAAAAGAGATTTAGTTAATATTATAGGAAGAATATTATTTATATTAACCAGCACAACTCCCATACATACTCAATGAAAGGTAACAATTACATCATTAAGATAGTGTGGGTAAGAGATAAAGTGAAATTAAATGGAAATTAGGACATTTCGTTTTTGTTTTGCACGTATAACTCTGCCTCCCCCAACATATTATTATGAAAAATTCCAAACACACAGAAAAATCTCGAGAATAGGGAGGAAAATGCAGAAATAGTAGAGCTCCCTAAGGTGTGGGCATATTACTTTGTCATACATTTTAGAGGCACTGCACTTCAAATTCCTGGCCCAGGTAGGAGCTCACAGACATCCTAGGGATGAGGAGGCCTCTTTTGACTCTTACAGATGGGCCACTGTCCTGTTTCTAAAGAGTTTGCGGACACAGAAATAACAACCAAAGAAGAGTTGTTTAGAAATGCAACAGTTATCTGTTGTCATATGAATTAAGCGACACCATAAAAGGCAGTAGTATGCAGCTCTTCAAGATTTCTTTTTCTTTTAACTGAGGTATAATTGACATATAACATTGTATTAGTTTCAGGTGTGCAATACAATAATTTGATATTTGTATATGGCGCGAAATGATTTCTCTTTTAGAAGGAGAATAGATATATTTTCAAAACTATTTGTGCTGTTTTGCTAAAAGAAAACAAACCGATACCACAAAATCAAAAATTAACATATTAGAGGTATTAAATGTACCTGGACCATGGCTATTTCGTTAGTGACGAGACCATAACGAATAACGATATTACATTCTTTAATATCCAGACCTTCTTCTGCCACTGTGGTAGCGATAAGCAGATTTATTTTTCCTGTGCGGAATTTACTAATGACTTCTTTTTGTTCATTCTGTAGAAACAGTTTAATAAATTAAATTTTGTAAAGCTAAACACATTAAAATCTTCTAATTAGCAGAAGAAATAATAAATTGCAACTGGTCAGTGCAAATCAAAGGATTAGATCATACACGGATTCACTGCCATCTGTTTTTGGCATTGAACAAAGACATGATAGTGAGACAACATTTGATTTCCAATCTGGGATTACCACCAATAACAAAAATATTGCCATCATCCAGTCTGGAAGTGGGAAGACCATTATTTATGCCAAGGAAATAAACTGATGGGTGACTTGGGAGGGAGGAAGAAGGAGACGCTTTCAGTGGAGAAGAGGATAAGGGAATGAGAGACTAGAATGGGCTTTGTTTTTCACTGCATTAACTTTAGAATATTTAATATTCAGAAAGTAACAAAGATCCAGTGACACTTTTAAAGATCATTGAATTTTGAGTCGCAGAAAAAATAACGCACTCTATGCCACGTCTGGTCACTGTAAGAGTCACTCAAGCAGGAAACCTACGGAATATGTCTGGAAGGACATGTGAGAAACGGAAAACGCTGGGTGTTTTCCGAGGGAGCAAGAAGACTGGAGAGCCGTACCCTGAACCTTATTAACTCAGAAAGAGGCAAATATATTATGTGTTCAAAGAGAAGTTTAATAAAAATGAAATGATAAATTATTAAAAACGTAATTTTTAAAACTATAATTAAATGAAAAAACTTTGAAACTTAATATAAGTAAAGAAGTTAAAGAAGCACTCTGACCCTTGCATAGGAGGAGTGGGTATGCATAAACCTAGCCTGAGAGGGTCAGGGCGGTTTTGTTCTCAGACTCATCCAAGCTGTTGGTCCAGTCGGCCTCTGGTGCACATTTATGCTATCTTTTACCCCCAAACATTAAACAAAAACATTAAACATTAGACAAAAATAAACACGTCAGACCAACAGTGTGTTCTCCCACCCTCTTCTTTTTCTTCTTAGAGGCAGTGTGTGTCTTTTTTTGATTCTTAAAGGCTGGAGAATTGTGCAGAAAAGCCTCTCTCCAGTCTTCTCTGATAATTTCTCCCTCTCACACTCATGTCCACTAATAAAAGCTTACATGTCTTTGGATTTTAGCAGAAGATGTCTGTGCTATTCAAAAGAGTAACTTAAGGGATGCCTGGGTGGCTCAGTCAGTTATGCGTCTGCCTTCAGCTCAGGTCATGATCCCAGGATCCAAGCTCCCTGCTCAGTGGGGAGCCTGCTTCTCCCTCTCCCTCTGCCCCTCCTCCCACTCGTACGTGCTTGCTTCTTCTCTCTCTCAAATAAATAAAATCTTTTTAAAAAAGTAACTTTAATAATGAGAATTTCAGACAGAGTTAGACCCTCAAATCACATCAAATAAATGCTGACTCCCTCTCCCAGTGAGTAAGTCCAACTCTGCTCATAAGGGGAGGGTGTGTGGCGTAAGGAAGGGGTGTGTTCTATATTTTGGCATGTAGCCCCCAAATCTGAAACGGCTAAGGAGCAAAAAGTAGCTTGACAACATACTTTCCTTTTGTATGTCACTTCTTTTCAAAAAAGGAGCTGAGGCCACATATAACCAAAGTCAAAATACTAAAGTTAATATAACAGAAACTTAAAAACAGGAGTGGAAGAATACAGATGTACTATTTGTAAGGATTAACATAAAGGCAGTGAGACTGAACTTTAATTTTGCCTGTGAGCTTCCTGAAAGCTAGGGCAAAAAGGAAACAAATTAAGTAAACTAGCTCTCATCACAAAGGAGGAAGTAAGCTCCTTACCCAAGGAAAACAATGCTTTCTTTTTCAGGCATAAATTTTAAAGGCAACTTTAACTGCGTACAGGCGTTAGCATATTGAGCATTATAGTGTAAAATTTCAAGAACTATTATTTTCAGCAAACATTAAAACAGATTTAATTTGCTCCATTGCACTGAATTCTGATGACCATGACAGAATTGAAGTGTCCCCTTGTCCAGTAAGATTCAAGGTCAATATGACTTCAGAAGAACAATTTTATTCAAACAAGCCATGCTTGTAATGTCTACAAGTGCCTTTTTTCTCTCCCATGGGTTTTACTGTGCACACGATAAGTAGTATAATGAAATGAAAACAAAACAAAACAAATCTTAAAAATGAAAAGAAAATCGCTCATAGTCCCAAATCTTTAACACATGAAATGTCTTCATTTTTCCAAGTTGCCTTACAGATCTCATCCTACGCAAACATATTCTACATTTTTTCTAATTGTAATGTACATATTTTTGTGGGGTTTTGATTTTTCCACTTGATATTATGTTGTAACCATTTTTCCATTTTGTTACTAAGTTTAAATGTCAATCATTTTTGCAAAGGAAACTCAATTTTGAAAGTTCCTCCAAGTATGTGAAAAAAGTGACTCCCAACAATGCTTAGCTTATCAGCCACCACAGATTAGATTGCTCCTCAACTCACATTTTATTTTAAGAACAAGCATTCCACAAAATTATTTGTGGGGTGGCAATAGAATTGATGGAAAAAAAAAACTACAACTAATTTGGGAACAGTAATAACAGGATAAGGAAAGAAATTTAGAAGGATGTTTTCACCTGTGTCATGGGCTTGAACTCACTGCTGTGTCCAGCTCCAATCAGATGATGGGCTTTGACTCCTACTTCTGCAAATTTTTTATTTTCAGTAATCCACTGGGAAAGGGCATATGCACTCTGTCTTGTTTTTGTGAAAATTATTCCTCGGGCCGATTCCTCAGTCCTTGTATATTGTTCCATTATGGTGTTTCTTAATTTGGTCAGCTTTTCATTTTCATGTTTTGGGTTTGCAGCCAGCTTTTTCAACAGTCTCCTGTTTTCTTTAAGAAAGAATTAGTTTGAATTATAAAACATGTGAATAAATTACACTGGGAGATTTTATGTAATGAGATACCAAGATGTAGTTGAACTACAGTTGATCTTGTGCTATCTAATGATCAGGCTAGCTTAATAAATAAATGTATTGCAATCTTGTTGACAATAAAACCAGATGACCAAATGACTGATTGTGATTATACAATTCATGGCTAATCTGAGCCCATCAATTGGAAAGAGCCCCAATATGAGTGGGATTTCTTCTTTCAAAATGAAAGATGATTTTAAGAGGGACTTTTGGAAGCAGCAGGCTCATGCCAAGAGGCAAATGCATGAGAGTACACAATCAACATAACATTGATTCTTACCAAAAAATAAATCCATGAGAAATCTATCTGTCTTATCCAGGCTCAAAGGTTTCTTTTCATCGTCTTCATCTTCATCACCATCACCATCACCATCCTCACCACTCTCATCACTATCATCTTCTTGGACCGCATACTTCTTCTCTTTCTCATCATTATAGAAAGCTTCAAGGTGATTATATGCATCAATTGTTCGAATTGTATCATTAATTTGTAGGGCCTCATTGTACTTCCTCAAATGCTCTGCACAAACACGTTCTTTGCGATTTCCTTCTCGTGCAGCTATGAAAGAATATGTTATATACAGTGAAATCATGGTAGAACACACCCCTTAAAATTGTGCTGTGGACTTGAATATGTCTATATTAGTGACTCCAAAATCGGCTTCACGTTGTTTTTGAGATGGGCAAGGTAAGGATCAAAATGTGCCTTCAGCTCTAAAAGTTTTCCAAACCCTAGACCGGCTACCTGAGCTCTGGATCAGCAAGAACACAGACCTGATTCATGCCGACTCAGAGGAATGGCAGGAAAAACATTTCAGTTGAGTTTGCATTTGGAGACAGAAACATAATATTTATCTTAATATGTTAAACATACAATGAGTGAAAGACTCTGGAAATAAAGAGTAAAATGGATGGATTGGTGCTTCTTTCCTTAGATAAGGGATTAGAACATGTTCATCCTTATACTACTTCGAACACAGAAATTCCATTTGATGTTCTATTTGCTTTCAGTTTGGTTGAGAATATATGACATATCATCTGAAATCCTGGCATAAACATGGAATAAACTAAATGTTGGGTCAAAACCCAAATTACCTTTTTTTTCCATTTGAGTGGTCCATTGTTCATAGGGTTGAGTTCCAAAATCCGACATTGGACTCATTTGGCAAAAACTTTGAATCTTGTTCATTATTTCTAAAAGTTTGTCTTTAAATGGATCCTAAAAATAAATTATACACTTATTCTTACATGCTTATCTTGTTAAAGAAATCACATTATCTTTGTTAAAAATAACTTCCATGTTATAATAAATTTGATTCAGAATCTTTGTCTGGACAAAGTAACAAGTTAATCTCTGACCACCTCTTTGTACATTTATTTTTTATCAGTAATCCACCCTTAAGCCACACACACACCAACACCATGTACTGCTGCTGGAATTTCCATTTTAAAAGCTTTACAAAAATAAAATTAATGGATAATAGGCACCTTGAATGCTAATTGTAATTTAAAAATATATGTATTGGGGCACCTGGGTTGGCTCAGTCGTTAAGCTTCTGCCTTCGGCTCAGGTCATGATTCCAGGGTCCTGGGATCGAGCCCCACATTGGGCTCCCTGCTCAGCGGGAAGCCTGCTTCTCCCTCTCCCATTACCCCCCTGCTTGTGTTCCTGCTCTCACTGTCTCTCTCTCTGTCAAATGAATAAACAAAATCTTAAAAAAAAATAAAAAAAATAAAAATATATATGTATTAAAGCAATGCCCCCATTATTTAGAAAGCCTGCAATGTAATTTAAGAAACATTCCCTTTTGAAGAACTGGTTTCAGTATTATTTCTACCAAAATAAAAAGTTAAAAGTTAGACTTGTAATGAGCACGAGGTGATGTATGGAAGTGTTGAATCACTATATTGTACACCTGTATATAATATAACACTGTATGTTAAAAAAAAAAACACCACCACACTGTATGTTAACTAACTGGAACTTAAAAAAAAAAGTTAAGTGATAGAGTTAAAAAAAAACAAACAAACCCAGACACATAAGAGTGCATACTATATGATTTCATTTATATAAAGGCCAAAGTCAGTTAAAACCCATCTTTGGTATTAGAAGTCAGGATAGTAGTTATCCTTGGGGGATGGGTGACTGGAAGGAGGAATAGGGGTTTTTGGGGTGCTGAAAATGTTCTGTCTCTTAATCTGGATTTTGATTATACAGGTGTGTTCATTTTATAACAGTTTAGCAATCTATACACCTATGAAGTTGCACTTTTCTGCGTGTCTGTTATACTTCAATAAAAAGTATATCAAAATTAAGTAAGTTAAAATGTAAGATGGCAACTTCTTTTAAAAATATATCCTGAGGATTTTGTTGGGTTTTTAAAAATGATTATGAGTAGAAATATGCAATTAAATTTATTAAGTGTAACTGAATAAGTAACAAGAAGTGAATGAAAATAAAGTATATTCAAATGTTCTGGTTCAGCTGTAATAGATAGTAGTCATCTTCAGAATTTCCAAAAAATTGATCTATGGAGATTGGTCAGTAACATTAGGTTAGCACCTACTACATTTCAAATACAATATTGCCAATTATAAATATTTCATGTTATTTAATCCTAATATTCTATGAGGTAGATTTTCAATGATTATAATTATTATCAAGTACATAGAGCTAAAATTTATCATGCTTTTTATATTTTACAAAAGAAAGTATTGACCTAATACACTGGTCATAATGTCCAAATTAACACAGTTGGTTTTTATAATCAGTGAAAATACTCATTGCAAAAGCATCATTAAAGTAAGTATTTTACTTCTCTACCATGTCAGTGTTCTCTTAAGAAAGTAAATATGCAAATTAAGTAGGATTCCCATTATCCTTACCAACTGTAATCTGGTAGCAACAAAATGGCTCCGCAAAATGTCAGAAAACCAGTGTTGAAATTCACCAAGAAAGTAAAAAGAATAAAATGAACTACAGTAATCCCTCTAGTTTAGTTATACAACCCTTTCTACCCTCACCTCCATGCTCACATGTAGTCAAGCTACTCTTCATATAAACTGGAAAACTAAAAGAAGGCTGGAAGAGAGAATTCGCAGCAGTGCTTTGTCGTCTAACAATTAAAAAAGAATAAAACTGTAACTTATTTTGCTAAAAATTTAAAATAATATTCTTCAGATGGTTGGTATAAAATAATCTTTGCATCTTTCAGTTGGGTATGGTATTATAATGAATTGTTGAACACTACATCAAAAATTAATGATGTACTACATGTTGGATAAATGAACATAATAAAAAAAACAAAATAACAAAAAGAAATCTAATAAATATAAAACTTTAAGCACATACTTCTCTGGTGTCATCTGCAATTGCAAACTTTTTGCATGGCTCTTTTATTTGGTCTTTGAGTTGATCAATATTTTCTTTCACAGTTTTAATGGTACATGCATCGAGATTGGCACATATCTGGAAAAGAGATTTTGTCAATATTCAAATATTTACTTTTCCTTTTCAACTGATTCAATGTAGAATTATTTTTCATATAACAAATAAGGACCATGACTAACTAAATATAGCATTTTAGTACTGCTCTACTGTGGATCTGATTAACCAATACATTTATCTCTATGGACTAAAAAGAAGCTTTTAAATCTTGTTGGTGGATAATTCCAGAAGAAGAAGTGTATTTATTTTCATTCCTTAAATTCCATTTGCCAGCTGGAAAAACTGACGTGGAAACAGTGTAGCAAATTACAGAGATCGGCAGAGAATGGTTATGAGATAACCGTACCACATAAGACATTTTAAAAGTCATCCTGACATCCCTGGATTAGATTACCACCCTCTTCTACACATAACGAGGACAATGTAAAGCTAGGAGCAGCCAAAGCCTGGATGTGCCTGGATCTAGACTGGTGTTAGTCCTTAATCCCATAACAAATTATATCTTGGAACAAATAATTGTGCCTCTGTCTGTTCTACATGATTTTTACTGAATTCAACTTAAAGTAAGGGACTTAAAATGTAAATGCAATTGCCTTAGTGCCAACATACTTCTTGGGTTACTCTGAATTCACTTAACACTTGAAATCAACAATAGTACTTTATGTGGTGCTACCATTTGGGGTCAGCTGACAAGTAGTACAACCTCAACTAAAGATTCTCGTATCTCCATTTTCTCATTTAATTTGAATGACCCAGAATCTGAGAATCACACAGAACAAAAAAGGTACAGAAGAAAATATGCATTTTTGAAACTCATGGAGTATTATGAAAATTAGAAATTGTCCTAGTTTGTGCATATTTCTGTATCAAATGGATCATCAGTTTTAACAAGAGTAGATATTTAAAATAAGGTATTTCACTTGTCCCAATTTTTCATTGATTCTATCTGTACTCCATAATTTTTGTGATATTTTTCTGTACCATAGTAATTTATTAGGGCATGCTACTGTTTTGTAGAAGACTGAATATGTTTAACTAAAACATACTGATTTCACTTAACCTATGATCATAGAATACCTTCTTTTAGGCCCTCCATGGCACTTGGACCTAATCTTACTCAAAAAGCCCAAGAAGCTCTGGCATTTGCTTTTAGGGTTTTTTGTTGCTGTCCTTGTTGTTGTTGCTGCTATTGTTGTTTTACATAAAGTTAATGGCTTACTTTTAAAATGTGTTCCTTGGCTTCAGCTTGCCTTTTGGCTCCTCCAACACCTGGTGAAGCTGTTAGTCCTAGTATCTGAGGTAGAGGAATTACTGGTTTGCACTCTTTCTTGAGTTTATTGTTTTTCAACTTCTGTTTCAAGTAACGCCTCATGATGTTATTATAGACTGCTTCTTTGTTGGTGTGATGGCATTCATCAATGACGATGAGGGAAAAGTCTTAAAAGAAAATCCAAGTGGTTCATTTGTCCATACCAGCAAGATAGAGTGAAAAAAAGTACCTTAAAGGTAGTAAACTGAGCTGTGACAAGGATATCTTTTCTTGAGCAGAATCCTGGCACAGACCTTTCACTTTTTAAGAGGGCAATGGGAACTACATTAGTCATCTGTACATCCAGAGGTCCAGGTATATTAATTATGAAACTATTATTGTTAGTTATTATCCCTACTTAAGAGATTAATTTCAGAAAGTTTATAAAGGTAAAAGTGTTATGGGATGGAATTCAATCCCTGCCTTACACCCCAAATTAATCAGGATTACATTTTTATTCTTTAATAAAACAATTTAATTTTAAGTTGATGAGGGTTTATTTTTATGTCAAATGAGAACCATACCATTTAAACAGAAATCATTTTGCCTTGTTTTAACACTGCATTTAATTATTACAATTATTATAATGATTATTTATACTTCTTTCCCTTTCTCTCACTTTCTCTTCCCTTCCCCCACAAAAGAGAAAGGATTAAATTTCATTCTATGGAAAAGATGGCATATCTAACAGTAGCCATTAGCATATGAAAATATCTTGTTGGTACCTAGAAATAAAAAGTAAATGGAAAGTCCAGTGAGTGCTTGATTTAATACCATATTCTTATGTAAATAAAGTAATCTAATTAAAGATGTATCATAATTTTTGTGTTTCCCCAAGAAAGTAGAAGAGTTTTAATGAAAACTTAAGCAATGAAAGACAATCTAAATCAGAGATAATCTTTTTATTTTTATTTTATTTAAGTAGGCTCCACACACAGAGTGAAGTCCAACACGGGGCTTGAACTCACGACCCTGAGACCAAGACCTGAGCTGAGATCAAGAGTCAGACACTTAACTGACTGAGCCACCCAAGTGCCCCTAAATCAGAGATAATCTTTTTAAATCAGCATTTTAAAAATTATTTAACTAATACAGCCTCTGTGCTATCATCAATATCACTAATTCTTCTTTTTCCCAAAATAAACACTTCAACCAACCTGAAAGCTGGACACCATCATCTCCTTTTTCTGAATTTAAAAGGGAGTTTTCAAGGATTTGAGCTGTACTGATGATAACATCGTAGGTTTTGACAACTTCTGGAAATGATATTTTTAATTGGGTATCTCCACTTAATCCAATTGTATGATACCATTTCTTCAAAAATGGTTCAAACTCTTTGCGGAAGAGCTGTTCAACTAGTGGCACCTTTAAAAATGACAAAATTAAAAAGAGAGAGAGAGCATGGTCAAAGAAAAAGGAGTATTGATCAAAGGCCTACTATGTGGTAAGCATTATCAGAGGTGTTTACATTATCAGTTAATTAAGCATAACAACCTATCCATCATTACATTCATTAATTTGTCAATAAGCATTTACTGAATGCCTGTTAGGTGTAGACATTGTATCTGAGACATAAACATGTTTAAGATATGGGTGACAACTTTGAGGAACTCAGTCTAGCTGAGCACATAAACTAAGACTAAGCAACAAAAAACCACAAATTAGTAAAACACAGTGTAATAATTCTCCCAGAGAAATACATACAAAGTGACAGCAAAAAGGCAGAAGTAACTGAGTACTCAAAAGAAGGGTTGAGAAAGAATTTTAATCTAGTAAATCATGAGTCAGTGACAGGACAAATTAAAACCAAGGCTGGATAAGAAATAAATTCTGAATTCACAGATCAGGGCCAGGCTATAAAGGGCTGTGAATAACATGCAGAATATTTTAAATTTAGTATAATAGTTATAGGACCCTTATAAATTGTTGATTTATTCCTGCTGTTTGTTTTGGGATGGGGCCAGAGGCAACATGCCTAAAAAACTGAAAGGAGCAGAGAACCAAAAGTGAGGAAGTAAGACACTGCCTAGGACAGCAGATGTGAGATGAAGGGGTAGACCACTAAAATAGCTTTGGTGGCTGAGAAAGAACAAGAGAGCAAACAGATTGGCAAAATAAGTGGAAATCTTTCAGAGGTGACTGGCATTTGCAAAGGGAGTAGTTGGCATTGAGGTTCCTCGATGTAATTGGCAAGTCACAGTATCTTCGCATTCACTAGCAAGTCAAAATGCAGGTCTTCTGAAGACCCTGACCTGTAAGACCATCACCCTGGAGGTGGAACCCAGTGATACCATGGAGAATGTGAAGGCCAAGACCCAGGATAAAGAAGGCATCCCCCATGGCCAGCAGAGGCTCATCTTTGCAGGCAAGCAGCTGGAAGATGGCCACATTCTTTCTGACTACAACATCCAGAAGGTGTCAACCCTGTACTTGGTCCTCTGTCTGAAGGGTGGTTATTAATTCTTCAGTGTTACATTTATACTCCCCAGTGATGGCATTACTCTGCATTATGGCCATTTGTCCCAATTTAAGTTTAAAAATTAAATTACCTTATTTCGCTTAGCATAAAAAAAATTAAATTACCACTTTCAGTAATAGCTGAACCTGTTGAAAATTTTAATAAAGATTTTGTTGCACGGTAGCAAAAAGAAAGTCCTTTCAGCTGGCTCTCTGTATGTCACAGTACCTGCTGAAGGTGGTTGGGTTGACCCCTCAATGCTACACATTACCATTTAGAATACCTTCTAGATTAGGGAAAGGAATGACCAGGCCATCTTGAATGTTATATCCTCAGAGAATTTTTCCCACAGGAGCCTAGAGATGTACAGTGTGGCAAACAGAGAGTTGGCAGGAAGAGTTTCAAGGGCCAGCATCAAAGAGTAAGCATTATACTCCTCATAATATAATTACCAGATAATGTGATCAATGGTTATCTTTCCACTGGTCTGCAGAACATGTGTTATTCATCTTTTTACTTGAGGTGAGCCCCACTTATGTGTAAAATGAGGGCTGGCTGACACCCCTGGCTGAAAACAGTGTACAAAGAATAATGCTTTGTATCATTGTTCAGTATAAATAATGAAGTTATCTAAGAGTGAATGTGGAAAAGGAAGGGGTAAAGTGGAATCTATGAATTTCAAGGAAACAGTGCGGACCTAAAATCAATAACCAAGTTTGGTAAGTGGGAGAAAATAATACAAGGTGAGAAAAAAAAAGAAGAGAAACTTTCCATTCGTGTTTTTGTTTTTTGTTTTGTTTGTTTTTTGTCAAAGTAAAGTCTCTGGCCCGTCTGCCACACAATCACTTGAGAGATTTGGAAAATGCAGACTCCTGGGCCCCACGAAAGAGTCACTGAGCCTAGGGACCATCTTTGGGGACACAATTCTATGTGCATAACCTGCACTTATATGAAACCTCTCATGTGACAGTAAGTCTTTAGAATGTGAGAACCGCAGCTCTTCTCTCTCTTTCACAAAGTCATTTCTGACATATTTTTCTAAAACTATTCCTTTCATTCTACTTACACGAGACAGAGGAAATAATCTGAGGAAGAAGTAAGAAAGACTCTGAAGAAGAGAATGAAAATTAAGCTTAGTGGGAGGAGACAGCAAGATCCAGGGGAGAGAAAGTCAGCCCTGAAAACCAGTCCAGCCACTTACTTATTATGTGACCTTGGACAAGTTACTGAATCATTTCAGTCATTTCAATTTCTACATCAATAAAATGAAGATAATGTTAACCTACGGTAGCACTGTTGTGAAAATTAAATGAAAGAGAGGCTGTCATTTTTCTGGTCCTCAGAAAACTTCCCTGATATTTTGCTAATCCTTTTATTCCAGCAGTATAGTGAAAAAAGAAGGCCAGTTAGCTTCAGAAGATAAGGGTTCAAGTTTCAGCTCTGCTGCTTATTGGCAGGATGAGCCCTGACAGACCAATTAAAGCCTCAGAGCCCCAGTTTTCTGATGGGTAAAATGAGGATAATTATGGTTACCTCATAAAGTGCCTGTGTGGATTTAATGAGATACAATAAAAATAATTAATACTGTATCATAAAGTGCAATACAATTATTATCATATTATTAATAAACACCTCTCATTTCTTAGAGTGTAGATTCCTGAGAACAGGATCTGCCTTCGATTTGCCTTTAAATCCCCTCATGCTGCTGAATGATTTAAGAATCTCTATGCCACGGAGTGACATAGCAATCTGGGGTTCTGCCCATAAAGGATGAGTCAAGACCTTCCAAAGAAGCAGTATCTTCTGGTCTACAGAACAAAAATAAGTTTTCACAGGAGGTAGCAAGTGTTGGAAATCCTGATACTCACTCTGGGTGGTGTTGACTTCCTACTGAAGGACACAGAGAAAGCCAGATGCAAGTCTGACATGGCTAATTGGGAGGTGTGTGGTCCTCTTGGAGCCTTTTCCTGAGATGTGACAGAGTGCCTGCCAAGACTAATCAAACCCAACTGCTACCCACTTCTGCTGAATCATATGGGGCTGCATTATAGCATCTGAAGGAACCTGGGATTTATCTCTCGTGATGTTGAAGCCCTAGATAGGAAATAGAAAGTCTGGGAACACAGGTGGTGTTTTCATTTCTCCCTGCATTTGAAGGCGATAACTTTGGAAAGCATGGAGGCAGGGAGATGAAAGTAAACGATGTTAGAGGGGACAGGATTTCTCTCTTTGAGATCAAGGGTTACAATACTATCTGTTAGGCTAAATACAGAACTAGGGTTACAATACTATCTGTTAGGCTAAATACAGAACTAAGGTTATGTGACATAAAGGGCCTCAAATGAAGAGAACTGAAGCTCAAGTTACTTTAAAATTGAAAGAAATGGGATGATAAAGTAAACAGTTATGACATATATGGAAGAATTAGTGGAGAGACTTCTAGTAATTCCTAGGGAAAAACAATAGAGAAGCAGATGATGAATTAGACTTATGTCCTTAAGTGTCTACACAACGGTGCAGGGAATACGAATAATTAGTGAGGATAATTTAACATGTAAACATGGTTGCAAATGTGGATTTGTAAGAATTACCCAGATCCAATGAGATGAAAGATTTGTGATGAGCATACAGCACTGAAAGAAGTCATTATAAGAACAAGTTGCATTAGATGCGCACAAAAACCTGAGACCTGCAATGATCAATCAACGTGCATAAGATGAAGAAATGAATGTTTGCATTTGGAAATTAACTGCACAAAGACAACATAAAAGAATTTTAGTTTAGCAGATTTTCAGACCAAAAAAAAAAAAAAACTGAGGCTTTTTGTTTATGGCAAACTCCAGGTGAGTCTGTGGGCGCCAGCACCAGTGAAAAAGGCAAACCTGGCCATGGGCTTAGAGTCACATCTCATCTTTCTTCCAGTCTGCACCAATAAGACTGTATCTATAGTATTTTGCCCAACTCTGGATGCTGTATTTGAAAAAGGTCCTAAATAAATGTCTCAAAAACTATGGGCACTCAAGATGATGAAAAATCTGGAAACCATGTTACATGAAAAATAGCTGAAGGAACTGGGAATATTTATCCCAGGGAACAAAAAGAAAAATGACTTAGGAGCCACATTGCTGCCTTCTCTATGTGAAGGGCAGTCGTGAGGCAGGAGAATTAATTCTTACTCTGTATAATCACACTGGAAAGAACTCTAGCTGAGGGTGGATTCCTGAGAAACAGATTTCGGTAGGGCTTTCCATCAGTGCCAGTCATTCAAAGAATGGATCAAGCTATCTTATTAAAAGCAGGACTTCCTGGATATCCCAGCCTATTCTACTCAGCAGAGGAAAGAGATGAGATGAGAGCTGGATGAGAGCTGGATCTTGAAGTCCTCTTTCAGCTCTAAGAGTTTATGACCCTGGGGCCTGATAAAAGAAGGGAAGGAAATAGATGAATTAAAAATATCTCCTAGGTGTTGAGGCTTCATGCTTTGGAGGAGGGGGTGTAACTAACAAAGAGACAGTTAAGGAGGGAAGGAGAGCCTTTAAGGAGGGAGATGAAGGCTCAGTTTGAGGGAACTGCAGAATATTCAAATGGTCTCAAGAACTCCAGCTGAAGTATCTTCAAATCCGGTTAACTTTGTTCTTTTCTGTAAACCTGGCACTTAAGACCCTGTTCACTGGTTAAGGGGTTCCATTTAATTAGTTATGGAGGTGAGGAAGAGGGAGTGGGAGAAAGAACTAAAACTTACTGAGTCATTCCCAGGCTTGATATAGGTTATTTAATTTAAATTTCAGAGCAACTATATAGGGTAGTATTATTTTGTTCATTTTACAGATGAGGGAACTAAAGCAAGAAGTTAGGACTTAGTCCAAGGTCAAACTACTGCTGGGTAGAAGGTGTATTCAAAGCTAGACTCCTTTTATTCCCAAAGATAATGTTCTTTATAAAGAGAATACTTGAAAGGCTATTCACAAATAAATTCTAGTGTATCACTATCGTCACAAGAGAAAAAAAACTGTTTTAATAGTAGGCATTCAAGTATAAAGAAGAGGTTTTTTGACTCAGCAGATACATACAAAATGCATTTGGAACTACACGATAGAAATTATTCAGATCATAGATTCTGAGTATGTTTCTTTGGTACCAAAAGGCAGGTTGCAACTAAAACCTTTGGCATAATAGAAATCCAAGAATGTAGAAAAGCTGTATAGTCTATTACTATATTTTTGGTAAAGGAAATGATGAAACTCTAGTTATTGTAAGTAACAGAAAAGACTATGTCTGACCATGGAAATGTATACTCAATTTTACTCCACAAAAGTAAAGATTAATCTGCCCAATGTACACATTTATAAATTAACAAACTCATTTATCTGAATAAAGCTCAAATAACTAGATTTTGTTTTACAATGAAGAGAAGACTTAAACCTGTTTATGAAGATTGTTCTTTAAATACCCCAAACTGTAAATTATTAGAGGAAAACCTCAGTTGCATTTCAAGTAACATCTATCTATAATTCTTGAAAGTTAGTTAACTATTTTCCTTTTTTAAAAAAGTATTTTATTTATTTATTTGTCAGAGAGAGAGAGCACAAGCAGGGGGAGACGGCAGACAGAGGGAGAAGCAGGCTCCCCGCTGAGCAGGGAGCCCAATGCGGGGCTCTATCCCAGGACCCTGGGATCAAGACCTGAGCTGAAGGCAGACACTTAACCTACTGAGCCACCCAGGCGTCCCTCTATTTTCCTTTTTAACTTGATTTAGATCAGCCAAATAGTCACTTAATTTTTTCTTTGTCTTCAAACAAATGATATATATTCTGGTAAGGAGGGCTTGCCACCTTTGACTAAGGGTCAACAGTTAAAGAGACTCCAAAAGACAATATCTGATACTAGATTCTAGTAATATTTTGAGGTCACTCATGTTCACGGACATGATAACCTAAACTAGTGCCAGTTAACCTTAAAGAATATCTGGGTAAATGTATTATTCTTTACATATAAGTAACAGCTTTTTGATTTATGCTTTGGTGTTATGAAAAAATTCATTTTAAAAGCTAATAACTTGAATATTACATACATCTGTAAGAGCAAAGATTTAAAATAAAATAAATTACTTATTTTGACATTCCTCTTAATTACATGAAGTCTGCGTGATCCATTGTTACATATGTCATTTTACAAATGCGTCAGAAAAATAAAATGAAAATAAACACTGTGGTATTATGTGCTATTTGAATACCTTATTGACAAGGACTATAACTTTTCCAGGTTCAGATGCTTTTTTCTTTTTGTCCAAGTGATCCTTGGCAATGTAAACAGCCACTCTGGTTTTCCCACTTCCTGTAGGGAGGCATATAATGATATTTTTCCCCTCCAAGGCTGGTTGGGCGACTTCCATTTGGTAAGGCCTGACATGCAGTTCTGGCTCAGGAGATGCTCTTTCTGCCACATTCTCTTCATCTGAAGGAAATTAAAAGGTAGAAAAATAAGGGAACGGGCAATAAAATAACTAAGGCTAGTGAGTCTAAAACCCAGCATAGGCTTCTTGTGATTTAAATTGCTTTTCATGTGTGGTCCAAGCCAACTCATTTTTCTATTTTCTGTACCATATGGGTGTCAGCTCTCTGTTGGCATCTCCAGGGTCGACCCAGGCACCCCATTCTGGAAGTAGCCTGGGGGCAGAGGTACAGAGGGAGTGAATTAACAGGATGAAGGACAGGAGGGGAGGCAGCATGGGAGAGTCTTTTCACAGAGTGGGCAAAGCCAGGGGAAACTGCAAGAAGGGCTGCTGTACAGGATTGGCAGGAATGAGTCTTAATGCATCAGGCTTTCCAGTTCTTTGTTGAGCCCTTCCGCCCTACTTGTTTCTCTATAGTCCTGCCACCTACGGATCAAGAGGAACTGGGAAAGACTGAGTCATTGTTCTGTATCACCACTCCCCTTTACTTTTCATTGCAAAGAAGATATTATAGCTAATGGTACTTTCCCTCATTTGAAAAACTTTATCTGACAACCAAATACCCAAAAGCCTGCCTATCTATCTATCTACCTACCTACCTATCTCAAATATCTAAAATGGCAAAACAAAACAAAACAAAAATCCTATTTTTGCCATGTGAGGTAGGTAGATTAAACGAAGCCCTATTTAGGGAGAAGGGGAAAAACTCCTCCCATGTAAGCCTTTAACTGATATGTTGTCATTAAAAGATAAAAAATGATTTTGTTGATTTAAACTGACTTGTGACTAATTTTGGCATTTAGTTTTAAATTGTGATCTTTATCACTTCCTTATATGTATTCTCCATGTATTCATATTTTCCTGAAACTCAGAGTGTGATATATTAAAAATATTTCCAATTAACATAGATTTCTAAAGTTAAAATTCTCATAAAGTACTAACATGTATTAACTTTTTGAACATTAGAATAAAATTGTTACAACACATCTTGGTTTAAACATACTTTGTTTAAAAGTGATCATATTTATCTATATTGGCCAGGGGAAAACAATCTAAAAATGCATAATCTATCATGTGGAATGCAGTAAAATAAATATTATATCAATTTAAAAGCCCATCTTTTGCTTTCTGTAATCATAAGAAAAAATGAAATGACAGCACTTAGTACTTCATTACACATGAAGTGTTCCTTCTCTTATCGATGATTGCAATAAAACTAAACTAACAAAATCCCATTAACTTCACAAAAGTTGCTGATGGTTCCATTTCAACAATTGGATGATTCTATTTAAATGGGTTTTAGCTTGTTGTGATAGGTACTATCTGCACAGGTAGGAAAATTCACACCAAATATCACTTAGTAAGAGTCATCTACTAACCTGGCAGGAAATTTCCCTTCTGTATAGATGAATAAACAAAGAAGCAATGCATTTAAGTTATCTTTGGATCATCTGCTGATTCATTTAATATGATTTTCAGGAAAAACCCATTTAAGATCACCAGCATTTAAAGAAATACATTTACAAGTTTGCCTACATGCTTGCTTTGAACTCTACAGCAATCATAATCATTCATCGTCTATTATATTTATGTAAGGTTCAAATTTATTTAAGAATATCTTTACTTCTCTGCTAAGTGGCTTTTCTAGATGATCAAAACCCTAATATTCCACCTATATTCCCAGCATCGATTACCTAACTTTTCCAAAAAAGCAAGAATATTTGCAAAGGAAGATGTACTTTAAATTGTGTTTAATACCAAGATCCAGGAATTTACTTTTGCTAAATTGATATTTAATCTAGGAAATTCCTTAAAAAAAGATTAGCAAATTCCCTTTAATTTCACTCTTGGTATATTTTTGCATGGATTTAAAAAAATAATAAAATTCTGCTTCCCTCGCAATAGTTGCAGGTACCTCTTTAAATAATCAGTTTCCCTTTTTGTTTTTCATGCTTACTACTATATCCTTGGGTAACACAAAATAAAAAGGGAAACTTAGAGCAATTTTCTGTCTCTTCCCCAAGTAATCTAAGACGAAGTCAAATGAGTAAAACATCTATACCACTTATGCATGTTAGATATTTATTGTACTAATACATGTAAGATGAGTTAAGATGTTAAAAGGGCATTCATGTTCAAAATTTGATTCTGGAGCCAAACTCATGTTGTTTCTCTGCTACTTAACTCATCATGTACCACTAGTTCATTCTGTAGCAAATATTTACGGGGTGCCTATTACATGCCATGCAGTCCCAGGAATATAGTCCTTGTGTCCAAGGACTTCAGAGTCTAAAGTACTATAATGCTGCCACCGAAAATGTCTGGCTATTAGATAGATAGCTCAATTCGCATCTGTACTTTTGAGTCAAGTCCGGGAAACTTGATAGGTAGCCCCAAGTTTGAAAGGGAAGCACACAGAGTGAACATGGAAAAAAAAAATGAGAGTTGGATTCATTGTGAGAACAGCATCCAAAGAAGAGCTGGGTGAGTGCTAAATATTCAGCCTGATTCTTGCCTTATCACATCCTCTGACATAGGGATGGAAGAATTTATCCACATAAGCAACGAGAAGAGAATTTTCTCTTCTCTGTCACCAGAAGGAGAGAACTGAGCTGGTGTCAATGAGCTAGGAGCCAATTTCCTTTATAAAAGAAATGTTTGGGTTTTTGTTTGTTTGTTTTTTTGTTTCTTTTTGGCTTGCTTTGAAAAAGCAAAATCAATTAAATGCAATAATGAATGTGGTATTTAAAATATGCACAAGCTTTGAATAACATTGTGCCCTTCCTCCACAAGAAATATTGATTGAAGACCTGGAAATTATACTATACCATATAAGTGGTCAAAAAATAAAATCAATAGGACTTAAATAATAACATTTTATTGGAACTACACCATGTGGCACATTTCATTCTCACATTGATTTTGACAGCTGAGTTATTCTTGGAGAGAAAAGGTCTGTCACTGCATGTGTTTGAAATCGACAAAGTATTCCTTTACCTATAGTATGTAACTACGGAAAAATACGCCATTCCAGCCGGACAAATATTAATAGGTACTACCTCAAAATAGTAAGGAAACACTTTCTACATATCAGGCCAATGTGTATTGCCAAATATATTGCCACTTTGTGAGATGCAGTATATCTCTCTAAAAATGAGAGACAGAAAAACAAAAAAGCCTTCCATAGCATAATGAGAATTTTTAAACTTTAAGAGCATCATTAATATGTTTTACTATGATGTAACACTTCTACAGAGGAACATAGTGTTATGGTAGTGGGTCACATCCATGATCCTTATGTCCCACTATGTAATTGTTGAAGGTGGACAAAGGACATATGGGATAGAGTCCCTTTGATGTCAACTTCAAAAGTTAAAATATTATCCCAAACATTGTAATGCTTTTCAGAAATTCAATATATGTTTACCAATTTGCAGTTTATCTAATCCTTTTTTCTGCATTGATTTCTACTTCAGTCTATATCATGTACCTGAGGGAAAAGAATTTCATAATTTTATAAATTTAGAATTTTACTACCCGCTATGCAAAGTAATTCTTTGTTTCTAAGCACTGACCCCATCTAGAACATCAGTGGGTGTCCTCTGAAAATGTGTTTGTCTTCAAATGTATTTGCCTTTGAAAATGTATTTGCTTTTTAAAAGTAGGTTGAGTTCAGATTTATCACGTCTTTCATGCCACATTGAGGACTGAAAATCAGCAAATAGTTACATTTGCTAACAGCGTTAAATAGACAAAATGCCCAGCACATAGAGGATACCCATTTAATATTTATTGAATGAATGAATATTGTTGAAAAGCCCTTACTTAGACAAACAAAAATTAGGATGAGGTCCAGAAGCTTAAAACAACCATAAAGACTTTAAATTTAGCTAGAGCATATTTTGAGTTCTAACATCAAAAACATTTAATAGAAATTTTAATTATTAAATCTAACAACTGTATAACAAGTATGGAAAAATCAAATACAACCCACAGAAATAAGCACAGGGCAATAACTTAATAAACACTGAGTGCAGTAAACAGAAAATGAATTAACCCTTTAAAATCCTGGAAAGCTTTTAGGGCAGATCACCTCTTTTATGTAAATGATTTTGTCCCTTAAGGACTCTTCTAGCTAAATTTCTGTAATTCTTCTGACAATGCAGGGGAATCTGACGTACACAATATTTTCCAAGTGTTTTCTACAACTCAATCAGAGAACAAATGAATAATAAAGTAATTTGTGTTTCTTAATTTGCCAGTTTCCTACTGATTCTTAGCTGGCCACATTGCAAAGCATTTTTTGTTTGCTTATAATTTGTTAATTCTAATTATGAAATAGTTCAAACGCACAGACAAATATGGAAAGGTCTACAACAGATACCCAAGGATCTATCACCTCTTCTTAGAAAATGTTAACATTTTAGTTCAGTAGTAATCATTGGAATTGCACATTCAAACAACAGGAAGAAGCAATAGGAAATTGACCAGACTGACAGAATTTAGGCAATCTGAGAACAGGAAGTATTGCTGAAGTGTGGGACTGGGAAGAGGCGCTCTCATTTATTGTTGGTGTGATATCCAACTAATAGAGTAATTTGGGAAACACCTAATAAAGTCCTCATTTAGTGACAAAAATATTTTTTGGAAACTCTACTTCTATGCAAGGGCTATTTAGACAAATTGAAATTCTTTTAACTTCATGTGTAATTTTTAATTTTTAATTTTAAAAGGACTCCTGTTAACTGGGTGATGGGCATTAAGGAGGGCATGTGATGTAATGAGCACTGGGTGTTCTATGCAACTGATGAATCACTAAACTCTACCTCTGAAACTAATAATATGTTCTATGTTAATTAATTGAATTTAATTAAAATAAAACTTAAAAAATAAAAAGTAAAAGGACTCTTCTTACCTGCAGTTAATCTAGAGTCACAATCTTCTTACTGACCATGTTAATTTTTTTCATTTAAAATGTATTTTGATTAAAAAAAAAAAAAGTAGGGTACGGGAACACACGTACCAAACTGCATACATGACTTAAATGCAGTCGACTTAACTGAAACAGAGGGCATAAAGAAAACAGATGACCTGACTCTATGGAATGTGGCATATGCATATTCTTATCTACACCAAAAAAGATAAGGACTGGACCAAAAATGAGAGAGCTTGAGTCTAAGACTTTTATAAGTTATACTTTTAAAGAAAGTGAATGGCAAAGTTCCAAAATGACTTCAACTGTAGAAAAGAATTGCTTTAATTGCATAAATCCATTAGGGAGGGTACGAACAGCCCCCATGCTTTCCACTATATGGCGTCTTATTTCACAGTTTTTAAGGTTTACACAACAGTTAGGCAGTACCTGAATCACTTCCCATGGTGCCTGAATCACTGCCCATGTTGCTGTTATGTCCAAGACTTTCATCTAAGCAGCTGACACTTCCTTCTGCCAAACTTGTGTCTGATTCTGCAAAGGAAAACATTTTAAAATATTTTTAAAATATTTCTGAGAATAAACGTATTTTAACTGCACACCTCTACAGCACACAGTACATACAGTTCAGTGCAAGTGGAAAAGGCACACCCAGATGATTATGAAGAAAAGGTAAGAGTTTCTGGCAAAAGCAACATTTAAAAACCCCACTATGGATGAGCAGCTGCTGGGTAGTGAATCAAACGCATGTACCTACTTTACCGCATGTCCGATATGAGAGTAAATACAAACTTGTAAACATTTATCACTTTTGTTGTCCCCCCACATGGAAATTTTGCCCAAGAAAAGAAAATCTACGCTTGATAATGGCATTGAAACACAAAGTATTATATAGTAACCACTGAGTTATTTTAACATAATCTGGTAGGGAATTAATAAAGTATAAAAAATTAATAAAGTACATGGTTCTGTTAATCAGTTATGAAAATAACAGTTCAGTGATAAACATAACTTTAAAAATCTCAAAAAGAATTTGCTCAAAAAGAATCTCATTAAAGCCTAGCATTGCAGTTGTACTGGAAGCTTATGTGAGGTTGGAAATAAATGTTTTCCTTTGCTACAATTAAACTAAGCTTCCATCAAAAAGTTACAGTTAGGATGAACGGCAAGAGCATTCCCTTAATTTGTTAATCCTGATGTCTGGTTTTCAGTACTCAGTATCAGTTCCTTTTGAAAATCTTTTTTTTCCCCCTCTAGGGAAGACTTCCCTCTTTACAGTTTATTGCCAAGGACTTATGCAATCTTACCCACAAGGATCAGAACTATTGCTAAACTGGTAAAAGTAAATAAAAGATAGCAACAAACGTCGGCTCTGGAATCAGGACTTAAGAAATTTGCTGTTGAGGTTCCTGTGAGCCTGGCTTGCCATTAGTTAAAGTGGGGCTGTTACAATTCGCCTCCCAGAATTTGATAACCATCAAGTAATCTTAGGTACAATCAGGTCTTAGCACTGTAGCTCAATTGCTCATGATTGGAAAATGAAATAAAAATCAAGGAGTTGGGGTATTATTAGGGCACGAGTTCCGTTAAATAATGTTTTTACAATTAATAACATTTCATATTTATACTTGTTACATAATTATCACTTCGTGCTAAAGCTCCCAAATGCACTAAATAAATTGCATTAAAGTAGCCTTTAGCTACTTAAAACTAGTCCGAGTGTCACACATTCAGGGCTAGAAATAGAAATGGTCGAAAAACACACAAAGTATATTTTCAATAAAACTTCTCTGGAGAGAGACAGCATACAACTCCTCAAAACTACAAGTATCTTCTTTTTCCTTAACCGGTTATTATTATTATTTTTTTAGTTGGTTCATTGAGGTATAATTTATCTCTTTATATATCTTTATAATCACTATTTTTAGGTTGTTCTTTTAGGTAGGTTTAGTTTGATGAGCCTGACAATGTATACAGTTTGGCAACCACCATCACAAGCAAGATTTTTCTATCACCTCAGAAGTCCCCTCCGGCTCCTTTGCTGTCATTTCTCTCCTGCTGCCCCCTAGCAGTCCCTGATTTAGTTTCTGTCCCTACAGTCTGGCCTTCTCCAGAACATCTCGTAACTGGATTCACACAGTAAGTAACCTCTGTTTGACTTCTTCAACTTAGCATAAGACATTTGAGATGCATCCACATTGTTTATATCAGCAACTTGTTCCTTTTTATTGCTGACTAGTACTCCCTGAGCATCTGAGACATCTGTGACATCTCCCTTCCAACTTGAATAAACTTAGTCAGCGGGAAATATAATGGCATTACAGCCGATGCCAATCAAATATGTAAGACATCTTTCTTAAAAGTTAAAAGAAAGCTGATAAGAAATTTGTAGAAAAATTCTCAATGGACACACACACTGTTTAAGTATATTAGCACAAAATAAATATACTAATGTGAAAATACTGTGCCTACCAGTTGTCGTAGATTAGCTCTCAAACTCAGATTTGAGGAATCCCTTATGATCACAAGGGAAGACCTGTATATCTCACTGAGAGATTTTAAATATGGCACTTTGCAATTCCCAGAGGAATGCCTTGTTAGAAGCTTAGAGGCGAGTGTGGGGTAGAACTGTCAAGCAGAAGAGTGTTTTGGGCAGATGTACTGATGAAAAGAGAATATGATTTATAAGGAAAAGGCAAGGTGTAAAATGAGATGGGGAAAATGTCATTGCAAGGATAATTCTAGATCTAGAAATATAGACTAAGATTTCCGAAGCAAAAAAGTAAATTTTGACATGCTTTTCATTTGTTGTTTTAAATATGGTATGAGAACTAAAGGTAATACCAAAAATACTAAAAAATACTAATAAGTATTATCTAAACTCTAACCCTGATTCTTTACGTTTCCCACTAAGTGTAATACAAATGGAAATTATACTTGATTTTCATTTCATTTTCTAATAGCTAGCAGTTAAACAACAATCTTAAAAGTACTTTGTATATATGTAAAGTCAAGGTTTTCCCCAAGCTTTGCTTTAACATATGTAAGTTTGGGGGAGTTGTTTAGTGCAATGTGCATGATTAATTTATAAATATTAAAGAAAGTTGCTACCAAAAACTGGGTATTATTAAGTGTATTACATGGATTATTTTGATCTTACAAACAAATTTGCAATGTGTCAGGAAGACACTGAGCTCGGTGCCTTCACAGATGTAAATTACACTTTAAACCTCAACATCCTATGTGGTAGATCCATTATCATCTTAGTTTTACAGATGACACAGTGGGGCCCAGAGAAGTTAAATGATCTATCCTGATCACACAGCTAGAATGGGGCCGAGCAAGAAGTCACCATTTTCTGAATCCAAGCCTGGTATTCCAGTGTTTTTTGATGATTTGTGCGAAGATTTATAAACAAGCAAACAATCCTATAGCCAAGTGTTAAGTGAAATGAAAGTTGGTTATTGTTGTTGTTTTCAAGCATATGGACATTTTCATTGTAATGTCAAATTTTCTATCAATCTTGAAACGGTTTATCTTCCCAAGGGGGTTGGGGGGGAAGTAGAGAGATTGTCTTATTTTGCTAACATTTCTGATTTCATCAATAGACTTTCGTTTACTTTGTATTTAAATATCCACACAAATTTTGAAATTTACTTTTCTGCACGCAGATAAAAGGAGGAACACTTCCATCCTTGTTAAACAAAATTAATTGGAATAATTCTGCTAGAGATAATTATGAAAATGAAAGTGAATATATAGAGGTCTATTTCTTTGTCATTTTGAGGATATATAAAATCTCCACTTTCTCAACACAAAAATAATTTTGTTTCCTAGGCAGCGAATTCTTATGCATTTGATATAATTTTTTTATTTCATAGAAAGAGAAATACTAAAGGAAATAACTTTAATAATAAAAGAAAATATATTGAATCTCCCATAACATTAAGAATGTCTTCCCCAGAGATTTTCTTCCTGCATTCACTTAAAGAAGTCATGTTTTAAAAATCACACAAACACACACACACATAAAGTCAGATCAAGTGATTATGTGATGCCAAAATTAAACCAGGCTATTGAGTTTATAAGTCAAGAATTCCTGCCACTGATTTATATAGGATTATTTTGTTTTGTTCTTTGCACTTTTCACAGTATGTCAATCTGGACTTATGTCCTGATGAAGAAAGTCATGTCTATGATTTTAAAATAGATCAGATAAAATAGAGTAGTCACTTGGAGGCAGGGTGTTGCCATGAAAAGAACATTGTGCTATGGAGTCAAGCAGATCGGTCTCCAGATCTGAGCTCAGCCACTGCTAACAAATGACTTAACCTTTTTTTTCTTAAAATTTTTTTTTAATATAGATAGCAGTTTCTACTTTCTCATTTATCTTGAGAATGATTCCGTTAGATAAAGGAAATGAATCATGAAGAGAAACAAATCTTAAATTCTCATGAAGTTGCTACTTAAATGGTCTTTGAATATTGGAGTTATATTATATAATAAGTTTAGTTAACTTTTATATAGGTGTCATTTCCTCTAGGGAAAATATCAAAGCTGGCTACAAAACAGATTAGAAAATGCTGGTAATTTCTAACTGTTAAAAAAAAAAGCAGTTATTTATATCAAACTCTTTTGGAATGAAAGAAAATGATACTCATCCAATTAAAAGATAGGATTTTCTGTAATAATTTTGTAAACAGCACAAAAAAAGAACAGCTCTGTGTACAATGATAGTAAGTGTCTAAGACCAGTCCATAAGCTGCGGGAAAAAATGCCTCATTTTGCAATCACAACTGAATATTTTACTAATAAGGCAGAAATATTAACTGGAATCTGAGAAATTTCACATTTAACATCTTCTAGACTTTAAATACTTTAGAATATTTTTAAACCATTTAGAAACCAAAAATATTGAAGTTAAAAAAATTCAAATGAAAAAAACCTCTTGGTTGAAGGCCTTTTTAGATCTATTTCAATGTAAAGTATGCCCTCTGCTGGAAGATGCTATTGTAACAATTAGTTGGTAAGTACATCGTTTATTCAACCTAAGGGCTAAGCTTCCTTAAGTAAAATACAAATTGGTTCTTACTTCTATCCCTGCCAGGTAATGTCCCCCCTATTTTCAACCTAGATGTATTTCCCACTCCACAGAATATTTCTTCTTTTTCACCCCTTGCCTCAGGCTGTCATACATTCTCTTTGCTGAAAAGTGGTTTTGCTTTAGAGCAGGAAGCAGTGCAAGGGGCCAGGGCTTCTACGCACATTGAGAAAGAAGGGCACCTGCAGATCTCATTCACATGAGAGGTAGTGCTTACAAGGTCTGCAAATAGTCTAATTTCACTTGTCACCGTACTTTCATGTTTATTCTATTTCTGACCTTGTGATGCATTTTAGCTTCACCTATTTAGCTATTACCCTTTGCCTGGCTTCGTAATCCCCGCAGCCTGGAATGCGGGAGACTACCCTAAAGATCCGAGCACAGGTACACTTATGGGCACTCCCACAAAGATTGCACGGGCTTCCTAAGCATG